CCCAAATGTCAGATAACACCGATGGACCGACCTATTATTCCATCTGTTTACCAGTCCTATCGTTAAGTAAGCCCTGAAAAAATTTTTCAGGCAAGCCAGGAAACGAGCCTAACTTGAAACAGTACGTGCGCTACAGAAAAAATTCATATACGATCTAATTAGAAAATATGATGTACTGACTTATTATTAAGCTATTAAATAAAAATTTACCATCAGCCACTTTTTTATTTGATAAATAAAATTTCTGGTTAATCTATTGCTCTAATAAATTAATGTTTGATATCACTTTGCATGGAAACTTTTCCGGTGACATCTCCATTATTAGAAAATATACGAATATAAAGCAAAATAAAAAATTAAATATAAATAAATTTAAATATAAAATCCATTGACACTTTGAAATTCTATAAGTTTTTGCTTTATAAAATACCCTGGACGATATCCTTGTGCGAACGAATTTTTATGAGATAAAGCCATTTTAGAGAGTAAAAAGTCCATTGATCTCCGCGAACTTTTATGCAATATCTCTTCTTTGCTAATATCTTTTTCTTCTAACAACTCTCACCATTAGGCTGGCACCGCTGGCTACAAGGGTAAGACGTTTCCAAGCTGCTCGGTCCAAGGCCATTGCAATTAGTAATAGAAGCCATTTTTTTTTCCATCATCTAAGTCCACATATCACTTGTCCCTTTATACGTTCAAAATTTTTCCTGTATCAGTTCAGGTCTTGATTGTCCTTCCTCGCTTCACAGGGTTTGGTAAGTAATGAAATATTCGTCAATTCCTGCGGTGGATGACGGAGAACATGCCCTAAACAGCGAAGGAGATGCTCTATGATAATGCAGGTGTATTTGAAAGAAGATGGATGCGATCTTGTGATATTTTATCCGCTCGACGGATCATATATACCTTAGACAAGAGTGGTCAAAGGCAGATAGCTTCTTAATGTCTTCCACTCTCATTGGTCATGTTTCGCAGCTATATAATAAGGTCGAGCGAATTGCTGATATATGGAGTCGGATTTTTGTCTTTATGGTGATTTTGCAACGGTCCCATAGTGGTTTCATTAACCTGGAAAACATATTCCTAGATGCCGTTATCCAGGTTACAATTTCCTCCTTTGCCTGGCGTTTTAGGGATTAGAATGGATCCAAGCTATTTACAGTCAAACACTTCTTTAACTGGCAATGAATTGAATTGATAGAAAAATAGGCATTTTATCAGCATCTTTATATAAGACGAAAACACTTTCATTTTATTTATTTGATTATTTAATTCTCGCTGCAGTTGTCGACATATTGTCGACATATCATTATTTGCATTTCCTTATAACTGTTAGCAAAAAGGACTATATTATTAGTGTACTCGAGATCTATGATACGATGCTCTAGATTTTGCACATCTCTTAAGTGCCAACAAGCGATGCCCATTATCCAGTCTATCGCATAGTTCAATAGAGGAAAATATGCAGCCCTGGAAAAAATCATCCTGAGCATTTCAGGCAAAAACTGATAAAATATCTATAATTTTTAATTGTAGAACAGCGTGGTTGTCTAATGCATTGCCTAGATTATTAAAAAGTCCGAATAGTTCTGGTCACTGGTGCGTTGCTTCCAAATGAATTCCAAGACGAAGATCTCACTAACGAATGGAGCCAGTTTCACCAAAAATAGTGACCGTTAACTATGAATCTAGCACTTCAGCAGAAAAATTGGGAACTGGGAATTGAAAAATTAGGTCGCAAATATTATCATAGAACGATAGTTGAATTTATTAGCTTTTCATTTAATGAATCCACTCTTATACAATACAATATTAATACAATCTTTTCTATCATTTATTTATATTCTTCTACCATTTAGCCTTCTATTTATTTCACTTTGTCCACAATTGAATCATTAAGTACGCGTTTAGTATAATTATTGGTTAGGTATTATTGGTTAGGCTTTACTTTCTGGCTATTAAAAATAAGAATTTAAAATATTAATTTTGCCAGAAAACCACTTAAGGTTAGTAGTGAAGGTATATATAATCACCTAAATTTTTAAAGGACAAGTGGGTCAAATGCTGCAGCCGAACCACGGGGCATGAAATGATAATCGGAGAAAACATAAAGTAATGAAAAAGTAATAATTTTTAATGATTGTTGATTGCTCGATGACAATTTTTCGAAACTTATTCATTATTTTATTAAATCAATTAACTGAATTTAGTCTTACTTTTATTAAAGATGCACAGAAATTCAATTTATTAATGAGAAAGCATTGTATTCGTAAGCTCAGCCTTTGTATTTTCTCTTTCAGAAAGATTCCTTCAGGGAAAACTTTAAATTGCCCCAGAATTTATTTTTAGAATGGTCTTGGGTGAGATCCACTGGGGGAATTGTAGGTCACAAATATGGTTTCATGGAACGATAACTGAATTTATTCATTGTTTCATAAGTTTTCATTAAACGTATTATATAATTCAATATTTCCCATTTTTAAAATTAATTCAACTTTAAAATTTTTTATACTTCGAAATTATTTGCTTGTTACTATCACAGAGTGCAGCCTCCACTGGTTAGGGCACGTTATTCGCCCACCTATGATGGATGGCGTCAAAAGCGAGAGGAACAATCAAGACTTGGGCTAATGCAGTCAGAAAAGATTTGAAATTATAGAGGGACCAGACGATATATGGACTTAAAAGATAAAAAGAGGAATGGTTTCCATTATTTTGGCTGAATAGTTTTACTAAATAGGAGATGGCTTACTTCTACAACAAGGAAAGCCAGCCTAGAAGAAGAAGCTTGTTGCTTGTTGCAAATTTTTTTATTTACTTTTTGCCCAACTTTTAAAAATGAATCTGTTTAAAATCCTTAAATGCCCGGAAGAAATTTTGGAAAACTTTGAAGCAAACAATTAAATGTCCAGAGAAGTGATAAGTGGTAAATGAAAAATTTCTGCTTATTCTATTGGCAAAAGGTAAATTTAGGAAAAATCCTTGAAACAAAAGTAAAAAAAAAAGAAGAATATATATCAAATATTGGAAAAGGCATCTAAACTTTTTTTTATAATACATCTTATGTGGTGTTGCGGACGACCTGTTTTTCCATCTTCAAGCGACTTTCTAGCGAAGTAATCTCCAAATGGACTTTTTGACAAAACCCGCAAATAGAGTTATGGAGTAAAGACGATAAAGAGGAAAGTCTTTGATTCAAAATATTCAATTTTCTAAAATATTTTTTTGTTGTTTATTTATTTTATTCAGAAAAGCGATTAATTTGCATAATTCTTTAAATTTCACCTTTTATTTATTTCTAAATAATTTGAGTTTTTTGCCCTTTTTTCAATAATTCCTCTAATTCCTTTCAATTCCTTTCATTTCGTTTTATCATATATCATTTGATCAAATTAATCTTTTCAATTTTCGACTTCTTCTTTGTTAGTTTCATTTTTCCAAATCCCTTCACAGAGGGATTATGATTATGAGAGATTTCTGTGACAAGCGACTCAGCTGACTGCGTTGACTATTCAGTATATTTTGGCAAAAATATTTGCTAAGAAATTAGGAGAAAATCGACAGCTTTTCTATTAGCCATAAATGCATAAGTATAAATGCATTTCATGCTCTCTTATTACATAGCGCTGATTTTTAATCAATGCAACAGTTCCGTAAATTGAGTAATGTTTTAATAATTTAATATTTTCACCGTATAATACAGTTAGAATTACAGCTAGGAATTTAATTAATAATGCGATTTGGATGTCCGAACACAAAGATATTGAAATTTCTGCAAGATAACAAACTATCCGTCTTTTTCTACCTTATCCGATAAAGCGCCAGATTTACTTATTATTGAGGAAATATGGCCATTGTACGGCTGGAATTCGGAAAAGGTAGAAAAGGTGAGGAAAAAAGACAAACAGAAAAAAAGCGAAAATGGGTAATGGAAAATACACCGTATTAAATGAGACGAAAGGTCCGTACTTTTTTCTTAAAGCATTATAAAATTGAATTAAGATTCTCGCATTCGCCTCCTTAACTCTGATAGAAATAAAGTTGAGTAAAAATAAGCGCTTAAAGAATTGATTAAAAAATTTAAGTCTTTAGTTCAGCAATCGCTAATTTATATCACTGATTAACTTTCCACTACTGATAGTTAGTTGGGTGTGTTAGTTTTGCCATAAAGTCGCTTTGAGAGGCAAGTACAAGCAGACTGCCAGAAACACCGAGATTTTTAATGACAGATCTACTCCTGCCGATGCAATAAACAATCTTTTGGTGAACTGCTCTTAAAATTTCACAAATATTTCTTTTTAACAAAGAAATAGGAAGAATTAAAATTCTTTCGAAAACTTTGAATCGATTTAATAAATTCTGAAGGCAATTCATCATGGAGTAAATTTCAGCAAAGTCTAAAGATTTCGTTAAATCGCCTAATGAAAATAGACGAAAATATCCAGCGGAATTGTCGAAAAACTGCAAAAAATATCCTTTTCCTTATTCTTTTCTCTATCGCTGTTTGGTGCTGCTTGGTTATTTAGAATCTAGGCTTATTGAAGTTCTTAACGCTAACTTGTGCATAGAGAGTTAGCAGAATTTTCCTATGTTTCCCTCTCAATCCTGGGTAATTGCCAATAATTAAGAAATTTCTCCATTTAGCAATTCAAAAATATTATTTCGTAATATTTAATGCCATATTATCTGTTATGCAGTTGTGCAGTTAACTAAGTCATTAATGTTCATAAAGAAAAACGACATCAACCATGCAGCGAGATAATCCAAAAGTCTACGTCTTAAAAAATGAGGAAAGAGAAAAAGCTTAGCTCAGAGGATATTTATATTCAGAAGCAATGAAAGAAAAAAATGCTTAAATTATCCTTAAATTGACAGATAATCTTAAGTTAGATATTTAAGTTGGATCATCAACCTTCAAATTTTTGATAATTTTTCAATATTTCATATTCCACACTTTTAATTAATATGAACGATATTTTAATAAATCTTTTGAAGGGGAACAACGTTATTTGAGTTATGACGATCAGTCCTCTTATAATTCACCAAATAATCAACAACAAAACCCTGAAGAAACTGAAAGAATAATGGAACAGTTTATAGAGCTACAAGGCCTGGGTGGAAAAGAAGGTATCTTCGAACAATTACAAGTTTTTCATATTTCATTATGCTTTCAAATATTTTTATATTTTTCTGCTAACAGTTCATACCATTAGTGGTTTGGATTTCGCTTGCTATAAACTTAATACTTATTTCCAAGCTTTTCGATGTATCTGAAAATAACAAAATCTGCTCTTTTTTCCGCCCTCTTTCAACTTCATTAAAGGAAATACAAATCTTTTTTGGCAAAGCTGAGATTTTAACCACAGTCGAATCGAAATTATTTTAAATGCGATTATTGAAAACGAGTAACTATAATTAAGATTACTATGGTAAAGAATTTGAACGACCAAGAAAGCTTAAGTCTAGAACTGGAGAACCAACAGCACTTACTGCACAAAAAAAAGGACAAAATGAATTTGTCGAACTCATCGAACCTAAACCTGCAAATCAACTGAAACACACCGAACAAATTGAGAAAAGAGTTCCTGTTGCTCTTGCAGAATCCAAAACTATCATGCAAGGCAATCTCGCGTTTGTTGGTGCATATTTCTTCTCTTACAAATTTCTTTCCGACAAATCTCAAATTTACTAATTAAATTTGGTTTAAATGAATTTGTTTTCAAATAAAGAATTTATTGAAAAAATGTATTTAGAAATTTAAATTCTTAAAGGCACAAATAATTTAATTTCCACTCTCCACTTCTGGCATTGGCCATAAGGTGGATGAGACGAATTTGAGGAGAAAATGGGTCCCTGGCAACCAAGATTTTTCGTGGTTGTTTACTACTGCCACTGACGCCAGAAATCGAACAATGATGGTTAAATTGGTTTATAGATAATATTTCTTGTTTCCTTTTTGTCATTTAAATTCTTCTATTTTGCATTATTGCAAAATTCATTTAATAAAAATAAAAATTCAATCTTGAATTCATCCCAACTTTCGAACAGCTAGTGAGGAAGGCAAAATTTTTAGCTATTGGTACGGTCTGCGTTGTCGCTTCAGTGGTCGGAATCGTCGGCGGAACTTTCTATTTCTATAGGTTTCTTTCTGTGATTTATTCTTTTGCACAGTTTGTCTATTAATCATTTATACATTTCCATTAAATAATTGATTATTTTTCACTAAATATTCAACGTTCATTATTTGTCATTACTGTGGCAGCACTTACTATTTCATTACTTCATCCGCTACAAAGAGTTACATAAGGGTAGAAGGGTAGAAGTTCTCCCCAACACCATCCAAGTTTAATTTTTAGTAACGAATTTTTTCCCATCAGACAGACGAATTCCTGGTCTTGAAAATCAAGGCAGTACACCACTGTTTACCATATCTCTCGCATCTAATGGAAATCTTAATCAGCTTCTTACGATGGTGAAAGCTTTTTGAAAGTCTGTTTGCGTACTTTGAGAAAGAATTGTTATTTAGATTGAAGTCGCAAAGCCTTGCCTCCGAGAAGTTCGATTTTGCTCGGTATGCACCAGCCGGCCCAGGAAGAGAGAAAAAGAAACGCGGAGATGAGGGACTCGCATATAAAGTAATTTTCTTCCTATCGAATAGAAACAGTAATTATCTTCAAGAAAATGTGAATGTCTTATTTTCATTGCCAATCCAAACAATGAAAACACGCAGTTTATTCGAATTCTTACTGAAAACCTTTTATGATATAAGTCGAGAAACTTTCCGGACTATCCGAATCGTCTTTTTCTCAGCAAAAAACAAAATTTCTCGAATTTTTTTCAACTTTAAACTTTGAAACCTTTAAAGGAAAACTTTCAGGCACAGCTGCATCATTATCAACAAACCAAACAAAAAATTATATCGGGTGATGAGCAAGTAGCTCCAGTGCCAGATCCCGATGAAATGAGTGAAGCGTCGGATGATGATACCAATAATTTTTCAGTCTATGAATGCCCCGGTCTTGCACCAACCGGTGATATTGAAGTACAAAATCCGAATTTCGATACAAGACACTAATTTTCTTCCCTTATTCTTATTATTATTATTCTTCCCTTTTATTCCTTTTTTTGGTTTCAATTCTATAAGCACCCACACGTAAAATATTGAATCATACATGTGTAAATCGAAATTTCTATTGCTAATCTGAAAAAGAAAATATTTCATAAATTTCTTAAATTCTCAATTTTTTCATTTCTTAAATTTCTCCTTCTCAAAAGAAAATGAAATATTTCAAGATGCTTAGCTTGATTGTTGTTGTTTTATAGAAGGTTAATATCGAAATTTAGCACGTTTGCTTTAAAAAGTCTTATTTTTTTTTCTGACTTTCAGCCAAACCTATTTTTTATGAGGGAATTTTGATAAGTTACTTTCGATAAGTATTAGACTAACGTCGATAGAATGTAACATAAATTATGTATTCAGGAAATTATGATTTACAAAATTTAAAAAATCCCCTGGAAAAAGATCATTTTGTGATTTATGTGTAAACACCATAATATTCGTTCTATTGGTGATTTTTATTCTTTATTCATCCTTTTTTTATTCATTTTTTTATGGACCGAAGATTTAAATATGTTGCAGAAATATTTCTCGGCAAAGTATTATTTTATCACTATATCTTTTCGTTATGTTTCTGCTTTCGTATATTACTTATGCAAAACGGGAGAGGCATAATTTATAAAGAAATTCGTTTGTTTAGTCGAAAGAATTGAAATTTTACGGCAACTCTTTCACCACCATCAACAACAAGAACAAAAGATGGACGACAAAAATAAATCATGAAGACAACAGACGCCTTGTGATGTATTAGTACCATATATCAAGAAATGAAAAAATAACATTTTTGTTGATTAATAAAGCAATTACAGAAGTTCGATTTGACAAGAAACATCAATAATTACACATCAATCAAAAAATGCGAATGTCCATTGGGAAGTAATATAAAAAAATGAAGTTACAATATAAAATCACCAATAAATAATTTCATCGAATTACTGAAACAACCAAATAAGAAATGTTAATTTAAGTGTTAATTATATAAAATTATTTTTTACATAATTTTTAAATAAGATCTGGGAGATAGAAGTTTCTGAGCAATATCTGACGAGATCTTTAATGCTATTCCTGGAACTACTGAAACCATTTTTCTAGTTTAGGGGCTACAGTTCCTAGTGCCACAATTATCACTTGGACAACTTTGGCTTTCATTTTCCACACTTTCTCTAAATACTCTTTCAGCCTCTGGTATATATCGTACTTCCCTAACTTCTCGTATTCCTTCTTCATAACGTTCCTATCACCACCAGTGCTGATTTCTGATTCTTATCTACTACCACGATATCTGGTTGACGATTCGCCAATACCTATTTGTCTGCCTGGATGGAGAAGCCACATGATCTTCGCCCTATTATTCTCCATGATTTTCTAAGGAACCTCTGATTTAGCCTTGATAGGATATAAACTGTCGCGAAATGAGATATATTCTTTTCTAAAATCATTATTTCAAACCGGTGATCCAAACCCGCCAAAGAAAACTTTCATAAACTTTATCGATTCTTTGGTTATTGCACTTTATATGTCAATAAAATATAAAGGAGAATTTACAGTTGTAATTTATTCTTCTTATGAAAATCTTTCTGCCTTTCAAGGCACCATATCATTCTTATGCCATTATTTAGGCGCCATTAAGGGACCCAAGCGGTTGGGTTCCAATATTGATATTTTAATATTAATATTAATGTTCAAAATATTCATTTTTCAAAATATTCATATATTCATTTGCTAATGTCCCTTATCCTTTTATTCTTTTCTTTTGTTTTGCCCTTTAATTTATTTGGTTTAATCTTATTTTTTCTGACAATATATTAATCGGTTTTATTACCCAAGTTTGAGGTGACGAATAAAGATTTTTATTAATACGTGCGGATCAATGTTTATTCTGCTGACCTGAGAAAGATGGATCAAGGTATTCTAATATAATTAACGCGTGCAGGCAAGCATCATCCCACTGCTTCCAATCAATAATTTATTAATCTTTTTTTGTAGATGACACCAGCTACATGTTCTTTTCCTGCTTGCACTTTATATCCTGCCACTGTGTATTGGACTGTTTCTGATAGAATAGACACGAATAGAATCCTCGGAACAATTCTCATTGCCAACTATAACAAAAACCAATGTACATTGCAGTCATCGTTTTGAAAATGCTGGATATGGAACCAAGGAAAATAGCAATACATATCACTCCCAGAAAATAATGCTGAAAAACAAAATCAAATCACAATGTAGAGAAGTTAATTAGTTGTCAGAATAACAGAAAAAATAGGATTCCAATAATGAAAAAATACAAGAGCTTCAACACCCCATCAAAAGCCCTAGAAAAAAAAGGCCACTATCCACTAGGCTAAGGAAATACACTAGACAGACAAAAGTTAAAGGGGTTTAAGATTAAAAGACAAATGCTCTGTTCTCCAAAGAACTGTCCAAGGAGTACTCTCAACAATGCAACGATATGGCAACAGCAGAAACTATCCAATATTGGAAGAATATATGGGAGAAAAAGATTCATATACATAATGCAAAGTGAGACGTGAGAAATGCAAAACCTGAGAACAAGCCATAGTAGATCTCCTATAGCACGAATTAGTTATCACCACAACTGCAAATCTACATATCCAACAGCGAAGAAGCCCACAAGATCTTCGCCTTATTATTCTCTACGATTTTCCGGAGAAAATCTCCCGTTTAAAGAATGGAAAGCTGGAGCTGGACACCCAGATATGTTCTACAGCTACTGGCTAAAGAAGTTAAAAGTCCACGAGCGCCTAGCAACAGATGAACCAGCTGCTTGTGGCAAGCTTTCATCTAGACTGGTTGATACAAGGAAGGATGGTTACAAAAGACCATCATAAGGGAACACCATCCAACTACCGGCCAATAACATACCTCACCACAATGCAAAAAGTCCTGTAAGGCACCACAGCCATTAAGCTCATGACCATATAAGCCAGCACAATTCGAAAAGGCACTGGGAACAACATCAGAGGCTCCAGATAGCAGCTGCTAATAGATAAGGCAGTCGATATAGACTCAAAATCCCGGCGGACCAATCTGTATACGGCTTGGATTGAATATACAAAAGTCTATGATTTAATGCCACACAAGGACCTGTGAATGTCGGGCTCTATACAAAGCTAACTAAAGATGTTCACTGAGAATTCAATAGGACTGTGAAAAACGACATTTGAAATGAATTCAAAACAGCTTGCATAAACAGCTATCAAGTGCCGTAAACTGATATCATCCATGCATTGTCCTCCATAGATCCAAGCCTCCTTTCTCAGACTGGATACAAATTTAAGAACAGGGCTACCATCAGCCATCTTCTTTACATGGATGATATGATATGACGTTATATGTTAAAAGTGGACATTGACTCGCTTACCCATCTAACACGGATCTACAGCGAGGACATTGGTATCTCATTTGGGTTAGAGAAATGCGACCTGATTGTAGTAAAGAGAGGAAAAGCAATAATGACTAATGGGATAGACCTGCCACCAAGGCATACAGCGAACATACAAAATAACAAGTATCTTATCTTATCCTATAGTCACATGGTAACCACGATGAGGAAGCAAAAAGACTGCAACATTTAAGTATCACCAAAGGACAAGATAAATTTTGAAAAGCCAGCTCAATGGGAAGAACAAGATCCATACCACAAATTTGTAGTCATCAGACACAAGAAGGATACTGAGGTGAAAACCAGAAAATGCACAGAAACTTAAATGCCAAACCTAGCACCCAAAAAGCACACATTAGCCGGAAGTCAGATAAGGCTTAATGGGTATCAAAGCCACTGTACTGAGCAAAATATTCAGAGATAAAACAGCATGATAAAAGGAAGCTGCTGAAATAATGCCTGACGCATTGGAGACATTTGAAAAAGATCAAAGGGAGTACCATAGCAAAGCAAGACTACCAAGAGGTATGCCATCTGAAAAAGCCTATTAGTTGCTGGAAAAAACTGGACTAAAAGTCAGAACTGAGGCATTGATCATAGCAACACAATAGCAGGTACTAAGCATACTAAGCACCAGATCTATCGAAGCAGATATCTACCACACTAAACAGGGCTTAAGGTAAAGATTGCACAAAAAACAGAGACTGAAGAAGGAACTAGGGAAAATGTGGAAAGTGAAGGCTAAAGTGGTCCAAATAACAACTGGACCATAAGGAACTATGATTTCAAAACCACAAAAGTGGGTTCAAAAGATTCCAGGAGCAATATCAGAGATTTCTGTCTAGAAAAATACAGTGTTAAGAGGAACTAAGATACTGCAAGACCCTCAATCTCACAGGTCTCTAGTAGAGGAATGAAGGTTGAAAAAAACCCTTATCACCCACAGAGGATGAGGAAGGATTTTTAAAATTCAAACATATAAAAGAGTAATAATGAAATGAGTGAATTATTAAATTAAATGGAATCATTAAATTGAAAGAATTAAATTAATCAAAAATCCTCAAAGATTTTTCTTGGGCATTTTCAGCACATTCATCAGCATCCAAGCCTCAGCTTAAATTGAAATCATAAGCACAAGGAACAGAATTTGACAGATGGCAAATCCGCCATTAAAAAGTCAGAATGATGTTAACGATCCACCGCATTTCTGTTGCCAAGAGATGCCTTGGAAAAATTTTTCTTACGGCATTAAGGACCAATGGAGCGAGTCTGATTAAGAATGATAAGCACTAACCGCTTAATTTTCTCTTATTTAAAGCCAATAGCAACAGCAAGAACAGCAAAACTGTGATTCTGTAAGACGACAAACGCGAATCCAGTAAAAATTGCCTCGGATGAAATAATATTTCAGGTGAAAAAATAATGGCTCACCAGCAATGCAAATAGTACCACATGCTCAAACTTTTTTAAAATCGGAAAAGGCTGCCTAATCGCCATTTCGAACAACTGACTGCCTCAACAACTTAAAAAACGATACAACTACTCGCCTGAAAATTTCGCGCACAATTGTATTGTTCATCTGATGTTTATAGATTTGACTTTTATTTTGCAGCTTCAGCTTGTGAATTGGAAGCTTTTTGATTTCATTTCTGGTCGACTGCGGGGTTGCCCTACGTGGAGCGAGGGATGTGCTTCGCATAACGAAGACGTGTTAACAGTTAAGGTGGGTTGTAGGTCTTTTATAGTGGAATCGTTTGCTAGTTTTCGGTCTTTTTCTAGGTGAGATGTGGCGTGGTTCTTTTAATGTTTTTTATTTTGACATTATGTGAATTTTTTCTTTACGATTAATTTCACATAGATTTGAAAGCGTGCAGTACCTTCCCTTGAATTTTAATTGTTTCTTTTTATCATTTTTCACTGAAATCTGCGGAGATAAATGAAATGGATGGATGAATATTTGTTGATTTTGCTGCAGCGTCGCGTCACATATTTTTTTGTGAATCACTGTTGTTGGCTTTAATGGCTCCTTCTAATAGCTTCATACCTGGTTTTGCTGGATACAACGAAGTCCTTGCATGGGATTCTTCCAGAGAGTAACTTAGGCGCAAACTCTTCAGCACGACTGGCGGTTTCACTTTTACTGGCAGATTTCAATTCTTTCAAGGATAAGAATTCAACTCTTCTTTCTGCATTGGAGACTTCGCTATATCTAATGACCGATTCTCTGTTTTCGATTAATTTTCGATTGATTAATTAATGTATGTGAATCTTCGCATTTTTTTTAGATCTATTAATGCGAATCGAAGAATTTTGTAACTCGAGATGAGTAAAGTTTTACTAAACGATTTGATTGAATTGGAAGAAACCCTTAAAAAATTGACTGATTTGTTGGAGCTGTGGAATAATCTTTGCGTGCAAATCGAGAGTGTCAAAAAAGTTGCCTTTTTTTGCTGCTTTTTCATTAGTTTTTTATTTCAAAACTTATATAAATTATTGTTTTACACTGGTTTTGGCTTGATTTTTGCCCCTTTTTATTGCCATTCTTTGGTTTCAACCCATAAATACTTGGCCAAGATATATACCACTTGGTTTGTTATTTAAGTAAATAAATAAAAATACCGCATGGATTTGGCTTTTCGCTCATTCGATCTCCTTATAATTTTGTAAGTTCCAAAATCAGTTTTTCAGATTTTCCGTCTCAACCAATTTTCTCTTTAATAATTTTCTCTTATTATTTTCAGGCTCCAGAACAATCAAAAATCTTTCGTGCTCGTCCACTATTACGCACAAAGCTCATTGTCGCAATCGAAATGGAAATGTGCTCAATATACGATCATCTTCACAACTCGGTACAAAGTCTCGGGAAAATCGCGAAAGCACTGAATGAATTTGATTGCAAACCAAATATATCATTTACCTTTAAAGTTGACATGAAGTACATATTAATTTATTTGGAAGAAGTGATAAATTGGTGGGCAAAACATAATTGTTGCGATTTTTATTTGCATCGAGCTTTGAGGTTCGAATCACCAAATCAGAGAACTCAAAAAGCGATCTGTCGAGTTAAAAATGATCTTTCGCTTTCTACTCGATATAAAATAGAAATTATTTAAAAAAAAATCAATCATAAATAAAGATTGACAAATATTTTGGTTTTTCAGATTATTTGCATTGTTTTCATGTATTATCATCATTTAATTATTTTTCCACTGGGAAAATGTTAAAACCTCCCAGTCGCGCTGACACAGGTTTTGATTCTCACTTCCCTGTTTTTAATGCCATCCATTGTAAGATTTGGTACGTAGCAAAGTATGCATCAACTCCTATGATGGACGACAAGCTTACACCACATTACTATCCGATGTTACCATATAATATTCCAGCATATGCAAAATAATCATGATTTTATTCGGTGGATAATTTTTTGACATCTTCCGCTCCCACTAGCCATGTTTTACAGCTGCTTAGTGAAATATGCGTAATAAACGTGAACCTTGTTAATACAGGTGTTACCAGATTTTACGACGATTTCGCCGCTTAGAAGAAAATATTGTTGCAATTGTTGGGACTACGCTTAGCTATCTGCTCTTGAAGCGCTAATGCTGGGCTTCTGCTTTCGGCGGTAAATTGTCTTTTCAAAATCCAGGTGATGCTGGATGTGTCGGAAAAACCGAAAGAAAAAAGAAAGAAAGAAAAGGGGAAAAGAAAAGAATGAGTCGTCGGCTATTTAATATTCAAATCATATGAAATTTGTCCTTTTTCTTCCTTTGTATAACAGCACATTTGCCAATAAAAAAAACTACCAACTTATATTAATATTCTTGAAAGGACATAAGATAAAAGGATATTAAAAATATAATTTCTATACAATTTCTAATGTCATTTGCATATTATAAGCTCAGCCCACATAGGGGCAGTATATAAGCTCTTAGAATCAGTTCGGAACAACTATGGAAGGAACGATTTCTCTCCACCATCTAGCGTCAACAATAATTTCTCTCCGTTGCTCGACCTCAACACAATATTTTTCTCTTTAGCGTAAATTTATTTGTCTCCTCAACCCAATTATTATCGTATTATATTGTTTGTTAATTCAACGTAAATAATATCTTCCTTTTCGACTCAAGATAACTTTCATGACAGGGTGTTCATCTAATTACTATCGCCAGATACCTGGAAAAATTTATCCGGCTCAGCAGGTTAGTGGAGCGAACCTAACGAGAAATAGTGGGTACTATTCAAAAAAAGGTTTATTCTGACTGGAATTTCGTATGCTATGAAGAATATTTGAATATCCATTTCCAATCACCGGTGCATTTACAAATATAAATTTTCCTAGTGCCGGGGTTACAAGATGAAAGGAGCTTCGTTTTTTCCTAAATGGATCTGCATTTCCGTTGCAGTATAAGCATATGTTTCATCGTCTAGGTTCCCATAACCGTCAACAAAAAAAGAGCAAATTCGAGGTTTTTGCTCCGAATTGACTTGCACATCGTTCATGCCATTACGCCATTTTGAATATTTTAAAAAGAAAAAGCCAGTTTCGAATAGATATATCTTCCATTCACATAGATTTGCGATAAATCGGATAATTTTTGGAGAGATGAAGTATGAATTAAAATGAAATCAGCTGATTGGGAAAAATCGAGGAGAACCAAGCTTAATTTGTATAGGGTGAAAAAAAAATGAAAAGGCCCTTCCAGCAGCATGTATTTAATGCAGTATTTATAGCCTATTTTATTGAAACTCAAAAAATTAGATAAAATCAAATATTAGCCCAAGAGCAGTGAAATCTTCTTCCAGCACTTTGTGTATCTTTGGTATTGGAGAAAGATGCCGCCAGCGAACTGGCCTTCTATGTTGATTTCCAATATCTACCTGTAAAAAGAATACAAAGATGATTGAATTTAATGATTTATTTGAATTTCAGTGGTTTTTTTTAAAATAAACGAACTAAAGGAATCTATTTTATAAAATTATGTAGAAATCTAAACTATAAAACTTTAAAAAATAAAATCTCTATTAGAAAAAATCTATTGAAAATGGAGATTTTTTAAAGGCTAAAACAATTAGCCAATTTGATAAAATATAAATATATATTTCATGAGTCTGAAAAAATGGCTGCATACTATATCAGCGTTAACTTTATCAAAGTCAAATTTTTATTGACCTTATATCAGGTAATACTATATGGAATAAAACAAAAAATAGAAGTACCGCTATAACAGATTGCAAAATTTTTTTCATAATTTGACGTTTCATTTTATCTGTTGGTTCTTCACCAGCAATTTTTATTGCACGAATTTGCGAATCGAATGAATGAGCCATATCAGCCGTACATTCTGGTACTTGTTGAAGAATATGAAACAGAACTTCACAGTTATCGTGCTAAAGTTTGTAAGTTTAAGTACCAAAGTATTCCATTTTTCAGAAATATAATATTAGTATTATAAATATTTGCAACTCCATTAGACTTTTGTAGTCAATCTCAAGAAATAAAGAGAAATAACACTTTTAAATTTCCAATATTAAGTTTCAAATTTAATTTCAAATTTTTTTAAAATCTTTAGAATTATAATTGTTATATAGAATTATAATTATAATTGTTTCCAAAATTTCAAGAATTATTATTTTGTTCTAATAATTATTTATTTATTTTTATGATGAAACCTGACAAGGGCAAGATATTATGTGCTGATATGTTTATTGAAAAAAAACTAAGTCCTTATGTGGCAATTTTTTTTTAGAGCTTTCATTACTGGTTAAACTCGCTCCACAGGTTTGCCGCACTAGACATGCCGAGAAGTCACTTGGCGACAAAAGTACAGGTTGCCCCGATTTTTGAGCAGATTTACTCCTCCTACCGGGAGTAGAATCTCGGCGCTTTGAACTGAGCAACAATCTACTGAACCATTCTACTCTCATTTGTTTTCCTCCATTAGACGACATTGCTGCCAGACGAAGAGTGAGTGGTACATCGGCGTATTCGAATCCAAGCCTCGATTCTCAGTGGTAATCGTGCTAAAGTTTGTAAGTCACTCCACTGAGCCACCGGCGCATTTCATACGGCACAAGAAATCAGAAAGCGAAAAAATAGTGATAACAAGTAACAATATAAATATATAAAATGTAGATCGTTGAATAAAATTAGCCTAACAATGGGCCAATTAAAGAATATTAAAAAGAATATTGTGAAAAGATAAAATTTTAATTTCGCACCAATGAATAATAAATGTGGAATGCCAGACAAAATAATAAACCAGGACCGGATGAAAAGTCGTCTGAACCGTTCACCTGTATACCTTGAATACAACGAATAAGTAAATGAGGTGCCATGTCGAAATAATGCTTTTCCTTCACCTGCAATTTTATTAATATGATATATAATATGTCATCAGATTCAGCAATACGATATGTTATCAGATACATATATCATCAGATATGTCGTCAGATACAGCAAGTAACGATAGAAGCAAATATAAATTATCTTTTTATGTTGTAAATTCTTTTTATCTTAAAAAATGTATTTTTTACAAATCTGTAAGCTACTGATATTAAATAATATTCAAAAAATTATCACCATGTCTGTGATTCGTTTACATATGGGAATCACACGATAGGAAGCTGCAGAATCGTTACAAGCCAGGCAAAGAAATGATAACGAAGTATAGGCTTCCAAGACTTCCTAAAAAAATTACTAAAAATTTGGTTTTAATTCAAGTAATTTAAATAACCATTAATTAATAGTAGAAAGATGATTAAAATTAATAAAATTTTTATATTACAATAAGTGAATAAAAAATGAATAAATATATGAATAAAAGAAAAAAACGAACGCGATCATCCCAAACTAATGCTAATAGATCGCAATTCACAGAATCCTTTTTTTCATCATCTGAAAATTGTCAGTAAAATAATCGGAAGAAATGAATGTGAAAGTGTCAAAATGAAAAATAAGAGGAAATTAACAGAAAAAAAGGAAAATTGTAAATTATCTATGCAACAGTTTGTCTCTAATTCACATATCTCGTTATATCGTTCTGGAAACCCACCACTTTATCCCAAACAACTAAAAATATTCTCTTATGTCCCACTCAACCTCTTAGCACCAAATGAAAACCTGTTGTATTCTTCTTAATCTCCATTAAGTTTCGCTACTCTTCAACCCATTTGTAACCATAGATTTCTTTATATGATCTTCATTTCTTAGGATTATTGCAGGTTGAAATATCTCAGAACCTTTTACTGTCCTTTAGGTCTTCAGAATTAATCCTTTTCACCATTTATCAAACTGTACCACGTTCTCCAGATATTTTAAAGCCAGATATTAATAATAAGTTATCTTACAATATTAAATCCTTTATAATACGTTAATTCACAACGGCAATACTATGGTACCAAAGCCCCATTGTACCACTCTATCGTCACATATACAAAATTTCCTAACAATCAGTTATATTCAGCTTTTTTTGCCATAATTGCAGTTGCAAAATTGGCTGCAAAATTGGAAAAGGTTGAAAAGGTTAGGGGTAAAGATTATGGGAATGAAAATCTGTTCAGATATTGAAGGAGAATTATAGGAGTTTGGCAAGATACAAAAAAATGTTAAGGAAATACAACGGGTTTTGAGGATATATTAAAACACAGACGAAGGTTTATAGAACGTCTTTTTATATAATTTTAAGCTTTTTAAGCTTTTAAGTTAAAGGAATAAATTGAATCAACTCTTTTAAATTGCGATTTCACCCAACCAAAAACAGCAATAATGAATATCTATGATTCAAAAAAAAGAGCCAAAAAAAACTACCTTTATCACTAAAACCGAAAAATTCGTGCAAAAGAGCCACAACTTCACGTGTCACAAAAGATATTACATGCTCCGCAAAAATTTCTTCAGGTGATGGAGACTCTTCGGCTAAAATATTGTTAGTAAATTTAGAAAAAATAAAAAAATCATTTATGACAAAGTTATACCTCTATACATTTCATAAAGCTTCTCCCAAGACTTCGAAAGCCGCGAATAAAGCTCGCTTGCTAAGGAAAGCATGAATGGCCTGATTTGTGTATAAACTGATTGTGGACATGAACATAAGAACGGTGTCCTCAAAAAGCAAAAGGAGTTTATAATTCAATTATCATTAAGTATGGAGAAAATAAGCTAGAAAGAGAAAATGGATATCTAATTTTACGGAAATAAAAATTAGAGATCCTATATAAGATAGCCGAGAAATTACTGCTCAAGTTATCGTTCTCAGCATCAGAGTTCGGGCTATTCGATAATGACAAGAATCCAGGTGGTGCTGAGGACCATTTATAATTCTGTCTCGAAATAACTCGGAACAAAAAATTCTTATAAAAGTTGAGTTAGCCTAAACAAATTCTGCGAGTTTACCATTAAAGTTTATTTGTAAATTATGTAATTCAAAATTAAAATTTTAAATGTAAAGACTTAAGCAATGGGAAAAAATTGATTAAATGTTTTCATAGTGATAGTGATAGTGATCATGCTATTCAACTATTTAAAGAGAGACTTTCTGACATTTCGCATAGTTAGTCAATTAGATAAAATTGAATCCTTCCGATATATTTTCCAAGTTTCAAATTTCTCTCACTTAAAATAAAGGCAAATATGAAAACAAAAAAAAATTATTGTCGGTTCTTCTAATTAACGACCTTTAATTTAATTTCGTTAGAAATCCTTAACTCTTAATCAGTTACTTCAATCATTCTTAATTTCATCACAATTTAAAAAAAAAAAAAACCAGCAGCGACGAATCCAATAGCGAATTCGAAAATCAGGACATTCAGCCGCTCCAGAAATAAGCGCCAAGGACCATTCACCAATTTGTGGTTCCATAAACAGATATTTTTTCATTTTTTGCGCCATTAGGGCAACGATAGTTTGACTAAATAGAAGGTTGAAAAAAAATTTGCTTATGGGTTACTTAAAAAACTCTACGATTTTCTGAAGAAGTTATGATTAAGAAAAAACGTACGAATACTCAAAATACTGTAGAATACTTAGAACTTTTGCTATCAATCTTGGGATTTAACTTTTTCTACGGTAATAAAAAGTTTATATCATTTCTAAAGAAAGAATTCATTGAAAAAAGAATTAAAATTTACATAGTTTCATGAAGACTGAAGAAAAAATTACGCGAATTATGTAAAATATCATCTTTATTCTTCATTTGATCACTTGATTCGATACCTGCAAAAAAAATATTTTCAAAATTTAAAATCGAAGAAATAATTAAATAAATTAAATAAAAATTAACGACTTAAAAAATTAGTTGGAAAAATAGGTTGATTTTGAGACTAAAATTTAATTATTTGATTCCACGTGTGAAAAATTTTACAAGTCAATATTCAATTTTACTGCCAATTTTACCGATTGGCAACTGATCTACTAATTTTTTTGTGATGGAATATGGCTTATTTTTTCGTTTTTTGATCATTGTCGAAAACAGTATAATGTTAAGATAATTTCAAGCCTCAACAAAGTAAAATTTTAATCGAAGATTCAAGTAATATCAAATTATTTAATGCGAAAATATTTCAAATATTAAATTTTCATGGATAATGAAATTAAATAATCATGAATAAAAAAGAAAAAAATTAAAACCATTGAGTAGCTGCAATCGTTCGGCGTATGTAATGTCAAATATATTAGGCCCATAAGATGAATGAATTAAAGCGATACTTTGTGCGCTGTGCAATGATTTTATTCGACTGAAAAAAAAAATCATTTTTAATTAATAATTAAAAACAATAATAATTTAATTAAAAAAAAGGTTATAACTGTAATTTTTATATATACCACAATTATAATTTTTCAGTTCCCACATAAATTTATTGCAATTGATTAAAATTAATGGAAATGTAAAACGTACACTTAAAAACAAATTTTATTTATCATGAAAGACCATCGAAAAATCCGATTTTAACTTTATTAAAGAAGAGTATTAGCAAAGAAATAATTTTATTTGATCAGAAAAATTTTGCAATGAGAATAAATTATTCGATCTACCATAAAAATAATTTAACAATAGCCGACATAGAGATAAATGTTAGAATTGAATATAATTTTGGTGATAATTAATATATACCAAAAAGAACAAGAGACCAACACAGCTGAGTTGCCTTGAGGCACCCCAGATTTAACTAGAAGTTATCAATATGTGCCGCTTGCCGATACCGATCTCTTAGACGAATTAAATTTATAAGCTTTTACAAATATTGAAAAATCTGACAGAAAATTGCAAAAATGAAAATAATAAATTTCAATTATATTTAAATTAAATTATAAATTACAATTATTTTTAAATTTGATTTATATTATATTTTAATTTTAATTTTAATTTTAAACAAAATTTGCAATTCAACATAAGTAAAGAAGTCAATTTCAGAAGGATCAAAGGCGAAAAAAATAGATATAATAGATGTGCAAATAGAAATAAAAAGTAAATGAATTAATAAATTAAAATATAAAAAGAAATGAACATACGCAGCAGCTCTGAATATGTTAGGCAAAATAGGTTGAATAAATGAGAAAACTGGATGTTTTGAAGGTTCCAGCGAACGAACATTAGATAAAACATGAGAGATCATAGACAAGTTTGAGCGTAACTGAAATATTATTCGAAGCTGACTGACGTTTACCCTTTTATTTTTTTTTGTAATACTAATAGCAAATAATAAATATCAATCATGGAAGATTTAAATAGTTAGATAATTCGATTATTATTACCCTCCTAATAAATAGGCCACTCTCACTCTTTGACCACTCTTGTCTAAGGTATATTACGGATCTGTCGAACGGATATCACACAAGATATCACATGATCGCATCCATCTTCGTTCAAATACCACTTGTATAAATAATGTTATCACAGAGCGCCGCCTTCGCTGGTTAGGGCACATTCTCCGTCGTCCACCACAGGAGTTATTTCGTTATTTGCTAAACCATGTGACAGTTGGTGTCAAAAGCGAAGTAGGCCAATCAAGACCTGGACTGATAAGGTGAGAAAAGATTTTGAACGTATAGGCGGACCAGCAACATATGGACTTAGACGATGGAAAAAAGAATGGCTTCTATTACTGTCGACGATAGCATCAGAAATCGTCTTACCCTTGTAGCCGTTGGAGCCTAACCAGTACTGGTGAGAGCTGCTAGAAAAAGAAGATGAAGAATAAATAGGCAATTTTCCAATTTTCTTGGTGTCCAAAAGAATTTCAAAAAACCAAAAAAATTTTTTAAAAATGTTCATTTTATCAAACACTTATGGGAAAAGTAAATGTAAAAAATAGAAGTAGAAATACAATGTAGAATATGAGGATTGGAAATAAAAAAAGGGAAAAAAAATTTTTATTACCATTGAGCACCTTTTCAAAAAAGGCGATTCCACTAACGCTTCCATAGTTTGTGGAGCAGCTTCTGTGAAACCATAATAATTTAGAAAATCTAGATCACTTTGCAATGTACTGAAAAAAATTGAAAATTTTTAAATTTACATCCTAATAAACAAGAATCTTTCAAATTAATCTGAGCCAAAAAATATTCAAAAGAGTAAGAGTAAAGACAAGAAACGTCCAATCCTATTGATTACAGTACTATTACTTACAAATCGCTTTCTCGATATTTTTTAAAATTTTTGAAGAAAAGACATTTTCCAAACCTGATTATTTCTGGTGATTTGAAAAATGATATCGGCTCATGCAAAACACTGGCAAGAAAATTAGTTTGCTCATCATAATTAGGACAAAGATTACTTAATTCAGCTAAAACTTGGGTAAGAGATGACAACTGCATTATAGAAACATATGGACGAACCTCGACGCAAATATCAAAGATGTTTTGGGCATAATTCTGAAAAAAATTATAATGAAAATCAAAATTGATGATCGCACGGCAAATCGAGAAATCACGAAAATTTATCTAATTTCAGCAAAATATTTTAATTTCAAGTATTAGTAATAAATGAATAAATATTTTAGAGATATTATAATAGAGAAGAATATTTTAATATTTAATCAGAATATTTAAAAAGAAAACAAACTTTGATGATATCAGAATAGGATGTAAGAAGTCGCATAAGAATGGAAAAACAATGACGTTTTATCGACTTTTCATCCATTACTTCATCCCAATTTTCATACAGAAGTTTTTTTCTGATCTAAAAAAACGTATGTAAAATCCGGAAAATTAGAAATAAAAATTGAAATACGACCGCTCTCAAGTTGAAAAATGTTAAAAACAAACCTGATTAAGAAAAGAAACAACATGATCAGGATGCAATTTCAGTATGACGAAGAGAGCTGAAAGAATAGAAACGAGAAAATTACAAATAAATACAGATGAACATTTATCAAGCAATAACGTGATACGATCAAAAATTTCCACGAATATCTGTGATTCGCCCTGAAAATAATATCGTCTGAAAAAAATAAGTTATAAAAAGAAAAGGTACCAAACTGAACTCATCTAAAAAGTCGAATAAATGAGCAATTCAAAAATTTTCTAAAAATTAAATTAAATTAAAATTAAATTAAATTAAAATTAAATTAAATTAAAAATTAAAGTATAAACATCAAAAATAAAGATTAATGGAAATAAAGAAGCAAATTTAATAATTTCCACTAATTTAAATAAGTTTAAACAAATTAATTTCGCAACAGTACTTAACAGTAGAAATTTTAAAAAAACAAGAAAAAATCAATATTTACAAAATCCAAAAGCTGTGCAACATATGAGCCAGAAAAATTAATTCGCACTACTCTCAACATCGATTCCCACTCAGCTTCACTTACTGTAAAATAATCAAATTAAATGGAAAATATTATGGACTATAAAGAATATAAATAAGCAGCATTACGTCTTAATAAACAGGATAAAATTAAAAAAATAAAAATAATTGAATAATAATTAAAAATAAAAAATTTCCCTCTTTCGAACATGCAGATTACCTTCACTACAGTGACTCTAATGAAGAAAATCTTCAAGAAATTCAAACAACCTGACTCAATAGCACCAATGCAACGATTTTGTAACCAATCAATCGTTATTTTATTAACAATTTCACCATGTTTACTATCACAGGCGTAACGCAAAAGCTGCATAGCACGTTCTCGAAATTCTTAAAGAAGAGCATTTCTGAATTTAGATGCAAACAGCATTCGCAAAAATTATCAAGAAATTAATTAATTTTAATTTAATTAATTTAGGAATCAGGCAATTTTACTTAAAAATTTTACTTAATATTAAAGAATAGTCGCTTTTGGATAAAAACTCAAATAGCAACCGCTGTAACAAACGAATTTCGGTAATCAGAACTAGAAGAAAGATTAAGTCAATAAATAATGTTCTAATCAAATCAAATTCAATCAAAGAATCAAACAAATAACTAAAACTAATAGATTTCAAATTTATAATTCATCAAATTATTGAAAATTAATTATTAAAAAATTATTATTATTAATTATTAAAAAATTATTCTTTAATTTTGAGTAAAATTACCCGATTTCACTCGGAATTTGAAATTGCAAGAATAATTTTTTTTCTGTATTTCAAAAAATTAACTTCTTAATTCCTGAATAAGTTCCGGAATACCATCATAATCTATCTGAGAGTAAATTAGGGCTGGTGAATCTGGAGAATCAAAGTCTGGCTTGTTGATTAAAATTGGTATCTGCACAATAATTCTCGAAAAAGATTCGTCAAAGAGTTGTTCGGATACTATTTCCGGTTGTGCAGTAAATGTAACATAGACATCGGAAGCCGCTCGACGTAAATGCTTAAATGAAACTTAGGCAAAAATTTTTTAAGCAAAAATTTGTTGATTTTACAAAAAATTTTAAATGAAGTTAAATTGAAAAATACGTACAATAAATACGTACAACAGATGGATGACAGAAAAATGCTTCCATTGCTGATAGATAAAATGAAAAATTAGGAGGAGTACCATTCCAAACTTCCGATAAATGAATACCAAGAGACGACAAAGCTTCACAAAGAGCCTTTAGATATAGATAATGATCTTCTCGCTTTGCGCTGACATTTGCTGCTATGCTAGAAAAGGCGATTTTATTATAATTTCATAAAAAATTCTAAATAATTAAAACATTATTATGAAAATTTAAGAGTTAGTTAAAAAATTAGTGGAACAGAGAAGCAAAAAATCAATTTACTCTGCCGATGTTAAAATTGATTTCATTGAGAAATCACTAAAAAGTGCTCGAATAATCCGATTCTCGCTGGCTTTAATATGTTTTCGAGAAGCAATACGTCCAATACATCTAGCAGTCTGAAAAAGAATCAACTGTAGACTCAATTAACAACAGCTGATAATTATATGATGCATGTGGGAGAAAAAGCTAAAAATGATTACGAAAATTAGATAACGAAATAAAAATAGAACTTAATATTTACAAGTGAATAATTATAAAGAAAAAAATAAAATACTTGTTCACATAGGGAAAAATGGGGAACCATTAGAAAGCCACAAATCTTGCTCACTATATCATCAATATATAGCTCGAGTGTTTTAGACGGCATCCATTCGACGAGTTCACTAAGCAAGGATATGGCAGATTGTGCTACAGGAATATATTCAGCTAAATGGTCCGAAAAATCTGAATATCACAGTCATGGTTAAACCATTTAAAATTTACTTTTTTTTCATTATCTCAATCTTTTCACATTCATTGGCAATAATTTTTTATGATGCAAATTTCATGCTTAATAGCGCGGGTAAAATTTGATTCATTCAATTAGAAAAAATATTTAAAGTAATCAGTAAAAAAAGCAATGTTTGGAACGCGAAAATTTTTTTTTTTAAAACTTTCGAAATTCAGATTCGATTCGTCACTAATAATTATTCAGCTCATATGATGAAGATATAAATCAACTTAAATTTAAAAGGCGATTTCATAAAAACCTATTAACAGCAGTTTTTTAATCGATTTAACGAGTTTGCCAGAGCTATAAAAATTAACAAAGTTGATTAAATTAATACAATTAATAAAAATAAATTTAAAAACCAAAATTAATAAAAATAAATCTAATGCATACAATTTAAAGCACATTGATCTAATGCTAATAGAACCATTCTGATAATCTGAGATAAAAACATCCCAATTCCATTGTTAATATCTTTTCGACGAGAAGGATTGTCTATCGATCTTATATAGATAACATCTTCCACAAGTTGTTCTAAAACAGCGAATGGGATTTGAACATGCAGCGGCGACAGTCGCGCAATCTATAAATTTGTTGTCTGACGCCATGTTTATCATGGAAAACTTCACTCAATAACGTATAATTCTACATAAAATTTGCAAAAATAGAGTGAGACTTGATCAAATTGATCAAATAGTTCCGGCCAATTTTGAGGCCATTCATGCTTGATCATTGAAACGATACATCGACATGCCGCAGTTGAAGGCGGTAAACGAAGACCAATTAGTTTGAAACATTCATTTCGGATCGAAATGCGAGAATCTGCATTCATTTCCAACCATTTGAAACTAAGTCATCACTTTATCACTTCTATTAGCAATATAATTATCACTTTCATACAAATCCATAAATTTTTAAATCGAAATCTCAATAACTGATTCCTTTCTCACCACTAATGATTATGTTTTAATTGCATAAAAAAGAAAAAATATGAGAATGAAAAATAATGAAAATAAAAATAATGAAAATGAAAAGAGAAATGAGAAATTAAAGAACTATAATAAAACCAAATTTTATGAATAAATATAAAAAATTTTATTTGTTACTTAATGATATGTTCCATGAAAATCCAACCAACATGATTTAAAATAACATCATCCAGGGAAATAAGATAATTAACGAATCGCTGAACTTGTGCTGTTTCAAATTCCTTTATTGATTCGATAAGCTAAAATCGAGCATTGATTGAAAATATTACGATTAGTTATGATCCGAAATTCGAGAACAATATCAAAAAGGAAATCAATTGTTAAAATAAATTAAAATTGTCGTTATATGAGCCAAGGAAAAAAAAACTGAAAATTTGGGACAATTAAATCAATTTCTCTTTTTCTCCTTCTCCATTTCTCTTCATTTTATCCATTTCTATTTCCATTTCCCTTTTTTATCCATTCCTTTTTTTTAAAATAAAGATAAATTAAAAAATAATAAGATAATTTTTATAATGGTCATGAAAGTTCCAAAAAAAGAATGTATTAGTAATTTATATTGTCAACAAATCCTTTAAAAAATATAATTGAAAAATTATAATCGTTCTTTCAAAAATATAATTGTAAAAATATGTTTTATCAAATTAAGCTATATATGTTCTGTAAGAACTTCATAAATCCAAAATCTATTTCAAATCTATTTCACCTTTCAATTTTATCTTGTTGCTGTCAATGCAACTGAATTCTTCCTATCAGTATTCATCATAATAGATTGGAACAATCATTTTTATCGAATATTATCACTCTTTATCATTTTACCATTTTATCACTTTTAAATTATTGCAATTATAAATTTAAAAGGCATCTTTTTGAAATCCCTCCAATCAACTAAGTAAATCCAAAATATTAAAGGAATTACCTGATATGCTTCGAGTCGAAGATTATTATTTGCCAAAGGATCGTAAATAATTCGTATTGCTTCGAGTGCTTTTCCGAAATTTATATCCGTCATGGATTATCGCCAGCACAAACACAAAATCAATTTAACAGCTAAAATTAGAACAGCTAAAATTTATGAAATTATTAGAAACCAGAAGAGAAATAAATGTATTAATGTGCAGAAAATATGGCGAAAAAAAATCTAAACATTTGCGAAATCTTTTTTTTAAACGCTTATCATTTCTGAATATGCATTGGCTCGTCAGACCAGATAAATTTTCAGCACGCCATCACTTAACGATAGAAGTACGCAAGTGGGCGGCCATTCAGATCTCCCAAAGAGGAATTTATTCTGCCTTGAGCGAAACTTCCGAATCGATGCTCCAGTCCATTCAATCGAATTGGAATAAATGTAAAAACAGGTTTCAAACGAGATTTTATCCTATCGCTAATAACAACCTAACAGTCCACCATCATCCACCAACTAAAATCACCAATTTATGCCTATAATGCTAAAAATTCCAGCATAATAGCCTTTACTCACATTACTCACTTATAATTACCCATATAATTAATGCCATTTAGCAACTATTGCAATGGCAATTTTCGTGTATCACTTTCAGTGCCCGTGTTGCACTGTATAATCAGCAAGCAACAAAAATAATAAGTGAAATACCGCACCTCAGAAAATAGATCCTGAATCGTAAATAAAAATCGAAGAGAGTGAAAACATGTTGGAGCTCAGAGAAAACAGTTCAGAGATTTCACCAATATTTTATTCGATCTCTTGATTCCAGCTCACTCATTAATAATAAATCCCACGTTGCTGAGTCTCAAACCATCGCCTCTCTTTCTAGAAGCAGTCACTTTCTGTTCAATGGCCACCTCCATTGAATACTGTGTCGTTCTATAGAGTGAGACTTAACATAAGACTAAAAAATCCTTAGCATCACCTTCATGACTATGTTCACTCCCATCAGAGAACTGGAATTGCATGTACTGTACTGACTTCAGCCGAAGCAAATCTTCCGCCCCATTCTTAAGCCATAATCCTTTAAAAAAACCTCCCAGATGCAATATTTGATAAAATCTTCTTTCCCTATAATTTACTGAACAAACGAACCCGTCCTATAACGCACAACCGATATTTTAAAAATGTTTGCATTCAATTATCTCACTGATGAACTGAAAATCCGGTGGATTTCCTGTTTATCCACTGAAAAGAAAGATAAACAAATCAAAAATCTTTTGGGCATTATTAAATAAAAATAGTTTTCGGCCATTTACGCGACAAGAATTCCATTTAAAACTTTTAAAATAATTCTTAACATAAAAATAGTAATCGTAATAAGTAATAATATGAGAAACAATTTTAAAAAGTAAGAATATAGTAATAAAAACAAATGAAATTTATAATCATAAATAATAAAAAGTAATGATCAAAAGCTTTGAAATGCTGAAAAAAACTGAATTGCAATTTGACTCAAATAATTCGAATTTATTAAAAAATGTTACACAATCATTTAAGATTGGATAAATCCGGGAAATCTATTTTATAAGATTAAAGAAGCATTCATAAATTGAAGCATAATTAAGCCACAAAAAAAATTCTTCAAAGCACCATTACATAAATCATCGATCATAACCACAATTATATTAATTAATCTTTACCAAAAATTTTTATTTCATAAAAAACAGCACAGAAAAACTTCGATTCTACGAGTGGCATTTCCCGTTTCTGCTTCGAGTTACATATGAAACCGGATATAAATATACCAAACCAACAAAGCTATCCATTAGGAAACAAATGATCGAGAAAAAAACCCATCTAAACAAAACAGTTTTGAAGTCGAAAATGAGCCAAAATATAGAAAGTTTTAAAAGATGAAAAAAAATTTTTGTGGGACAAAAGTGGACAGAAATGTGTGGATTATCCAATTATATTTTGTTCAAAAATCAGAAAAACAAACAAAACCATAAAAATTACAAAACAATAATCCGAAAAAAAAGCCATAGAAAATATTTAGAAATAATTTATACCAAATCTTGCAAATTTTAATTCAATTCATTAATCATCTTCGCCTCTGTAAGATCTCCGCAAATCTAATTACTTGGGAATTTAAAATATTTCTCACACCCAAGGATTTAAAATTTCATTATTTACTTACTTCGTAATTGATACTATAAGTTACAGAAAGTTACAGAAATTCATCAAAGAATTATAAAATTATGTCTTACTTCCATTCTTTTCTTATATACATAAAACGAAGAAAGAAGTTATTGAAATTATTCATTATTATCATTATGATCTCGGTTAAGATGAGCCCGTTGAGTTTCGATTCGGCCTTTTTGCATAGTCATTACAATATGCGATATATCTTCTGGTACGTGTGTTGGTAATTCGCTTCGTTGCTCTTCCAGCCGATCACCTTGTGAACGAATTAACATGTCATATAAAACGCCAGCATCTTCAGAACGTGATCGTTCTAGTCGATTGCTAAGAAAATCAAATATTTATAAATATTTATAAACGCATCAATCTCGAAAAATAAAAGAAAATTATCATATATGGAAGAAGGTAATTTATCACGAAATATATCATGTTTGAGGATTTTTTCACTAAAATTGTTCTCTAGTCGATCATCTTCTAATATTTTTTAAGAATAATTATTAGTATTAATTCTCATTGTAGAAAAAATTCCGACTAATGAAAAATTTTTAAAAGTCGTATGATATAATAATAGTCGTATGATATAAAAAGCCGTATGATATAACAAAAATAAACGATCAAAGCGCCATACCATGATTTTATTTTAAAACAGCTCAACAAAAAAAACTAAAAAAAGACCCAAAAAAAACTAACCTAATTTGATCATCCTTGCCTTCAGTAGTAGCAACTGATGAAATTAATGATTCTGTATCTGATGCCACATTCAAATGAGCACGCTGTTCTTCCATACGACGTCCTTGCAGACTTGCTATTAAATTCAGCATACCTTCAGCACCATCTAAAATCAAAACTATCCTTATTAGATTAAAAAATCTATGATTTACACCGCATTTTATCGCAAAAATTGTAGCCTAATTTTTCTCATAATGAATTAGGATAGATAAGAACGAAATCGATATTAAAATTAATCGATGATTACTAATTTATTTTCATAAAACAAATATTTTATCAAATAGGAAAAAAGTTAAAAAGAAATTAAGAAAAAAATGATTGAAAAACTTATTTTATCCAAACAGATCAACTAAAAATAATTTATAGAACAAAAAAAAATTAATTCACTTCAAAAAGGCTAAAAGAAATAGAGAATGAATAGCCCGAAAAAAATGTTCATGCAGATAAAAATGAAACTGACTTCGGTTTTGAGATATATTAGACTGGACTGGCTGCGTTAACATTTGGGCTGACTGAAGACGTTTCGGATCTAAATGACGATTCCTTCGTCGCGGAGGTGCAACTGGAATTCGAAATTCAGATGAGAGTGCAACAAATGATCCCTGAGCTGTACATAATTGAGCTTTTGAATCTAACGAATCAACGTCGTCAGGAACAGAATAAAACGTTGCATTAATTGGTGCGATATTTCCTTCTTTTACAATATTCGATATAGGTGATAGAAGTTTATGAGGTGTCATTGATGGACGTGGAGTTGACGTAGTTCTTGGTGCAAAAAAAGTTTGTCCTTGTCGACGAGTAGCCGCTTGACAAACACGATCAAAAATTAACGAAAGCCGTCGCGTCTTAGATGAACGTTTAACAACTAAACCAATTTAACAACTAAAAACTTTCACGAACAATGTTTGCAATTAAGCAGATATATTTTTCAGTCGTTAAAATGCATGCAAAATAATAAAATAAAGATAGATTGACGAAATGAATTCACACCAGAAATTAAGCAATAAGAAATTTCTAAACAAACTTAATACACAGCATCGATCGCTTATAATTCGCATTAAACACCGAGCCAATAAAAAATCAATTTCAGTTGAAAAAACCCACTTTAAAAGAATATGGTAGCTGATAGGGAAAAACTTCATTGTATACCAAAAAAGATAATTAAAATTCGAAAATAAGCTAATAACCAGTATCAATTGAATCTGATTGCCTTGCAATATTTTTTGAACGATTAGTTAAGTCACTAAGTATGATTGGATCACATCGCTGATCATTGATTCGTTTTGATTGCGCTCTTGATAACATTTCAAAAAAATCATCATCTGCACTACCCATGTTTTTTTGCTGTAAATTTGCAAATATAATTTTAACTTTAAGCCTTAACCTACTTTTGATTGCACTTAATTGCACTTTTATTAATTTTTAGGCCTTTGAAGTTATAATACCAAACAATAATTTCATTTAATTTACTTCTGTTAATTTAAAATGCAACATAAATGACTCAAATGACATTTCGGGCCAATGAGCACAAAATGATTTTAAAAATTAGATCATGATGAAGGTAAGGAAATTCGTTGTGGGCCTTCTACCACTGTAATCTGAAGGCTTTGGTGGAAATCAAATCCATGAACAATTATTAGGCAGTTTGTGGGAGATCAATTTCAAAACATTTAAGTCGAGTTGGGAAGTCGAAGCTCGATCAATGGGAGTGAAAACCAAATAAAAACAATCCATTTCGTAATTGCATGCTGACATGGGGTAAAAAGTGGATCCTACAGAACAACCGATGATGCTCAGTGCAACGGTTAAAGCGAAAAGAATCTCCTAAACAAAGCATAATTTGCACCAAAAAAATATCTATAACCAGACTAATCCACCAGCTTTCTGAACACTGGCAAAATGATCGCAGTAGAGAAGCATTGACAAGAAATGATGAAATGCTTCAAAAAGTGCAGCATATATGTCTAGCATAGAAAATCCAATCCAATTATCTTATATAACAACCTTTGACCATACGTGCACAACCAAGCTTCAAATTGAATGAATTGGCCAAAAAACTCTACTTCATCCACCATATCCACCTGATCTTTCCCACTTTTTCAAGCATTTCGACAAACTCTTGTAAAATGAAACAACCAAACAACCGTAGGGCATCTTTGAACGATACGCCCTCTCCAGAATTTCCACCAGAATAAATTAACTTATGCTTTGTTGAGAAAAATGTGTAGATTCTAATTTTAATTCAGTTAATAACTTTGTTTTGAACTGCGATATGGCAATGAACTGCGAAATATGCAAACCTGTATTAATTTCTGAACAATCGAAAGTCAAGATATATCAAGAAATTTATTGAACTGAGTAAGCGAAAATGAAATTATGGATCTTAGTGAAAACTAAAACAATCCGCCGGATAAATTAAAAAAATTGAAAAAAGATTATGAATTCTAAAAGGTTAACAGAATCTATAAAAATAAGAAAATTAAAAATATGGCCAGAAAAAATCTAACTCTTTCATCACTGATATTATTAATAGTATGAGGAGAAGCACTCGATGTAGTCGTAATATTTGTATTTCGCACGTTTCTTTCACCAAAAAGTAATGATTGTAACGACGAATATAAATGACTCGCTCTACGTGGCTGTGGATCACCCGAGACGTCAATAATAATTTCACTAACGCGACGTTGTGGCCAATGATCCATCGAGCGTAAAATATTCTCCAATGATCGCTTCGCATTCATTTCGCCCAAATGATCCCCTAGCTGCAAAAAATAATTCGGATTAAGGATACAAAAATTTTTTGATTGAAATGAAAAGCGATTATAATTCGAAGAACTTTGAATTCTAGGCAAGCTTCACGTTGTTATATGAAAAATATCTTTTGAATGCTTCTTTTGAAGAAATAATTAATTCAAAAAAACAATGGAAATAAAAGATATCGCCAATTTTCCAAAGGCTAATTACCACCTTCAACGTTTGCTGGTAAGGACGGCAGAACGTCCTGACTAAGGCCAAAATCAATAAATCTTGCCTCTCGAATAAGTGATATCATAAGAAGTGAAACCCGAGTGGTGTTGAGAATCCGCTGCAGTTCAATCACCTATTTCCTAAATTTCCTAATACCCTATTTCCTAATTTCCTAATATTTAAAAAATGAAATATATCGTGTAAAATAAATTCCTTTCCCCAAATCAATTGTAATTTTTAGCATGGAATCCTTTTAAAAAAATTAAGCAAGTTCAGCAAATAATCACAAATCCTCAAAAGCAAAAAGCAAAAAGTGGATGCGAGAAAAAGAGAAAAGTCTAAAAATATAACAACAATGCGACAACAATATCAAACAATTTAATAATCTTCATTTTATGACAACAATTAATTTTAATTTCTCCTATCTCCATAAAATCCCTTCATAATTATTCCTTTTTTTTTTAGGAATAATTTCAATGAATAGCAACCATAATCATTGTTATCAACTGAACCATTAAGTTAACCATTTCTCTTTATAACTTTTTTATATTAATTAATATGATTGATACATCTAAAAATAAATCAAGCAGAAAAATACCCAAATTAGTAAAATCGATTCAATAAGGAAATAAAAATCGACTGGCAATATTAAAGAAAAAAAAGGACTTCAAAGGAGCATAAGTAAGTGGTTAAATGGTTAAAATTCAACATTTCTAGTAAGGCTATCTCTATTAGCTCTATTGATACGGTTAGAAATTTTTCACCAGATTAAGGAGAAGAAATAAATTTTTGCTTCTCCACACGATAATTTAAGCCACTATACACTCGGCTACCTTACCTCCATTTAAAAAATATTCAATCCTAAAATTTATCAAAAAGCAATTTATAAAATTTTTTCAAATAAAAAATACTTCTTCAAACAGTTCTCACCATTACTGGTTAGGCTGGCTCCGACGGCTACAAGGGTTTCTGATGCCATCGTTGACAGTAATAGAAGCCATTCCTTTTTTCCATCGTCTATGTCCATATGTTTGCTGGTCCACCTATACATTCAAAATCTTTTCTCACCGTATCAGTCCTGGTTTTGATTGGCCCACTTCGCTTTTGACGCCAACTGTCACACGGTTTAGCAAATGACGAAATATGCGTCAACTCCTGTGGTGGACGACAAAGAATGTACCCTAACCAGATTTATGCAAGTAGTATTTGAACGAAGATGGATGCAATCTTGTGATATCTTATTCGCTCGATTGATCAGTAATATGTACCTTAGATAAGAGTGGTCAAAGACAGATAACTTCCTAATATCCTCCACTCTCATTGGCCATGTCTCAGAATCATATAGTAAGATCGAACGGATCACGGCAATATAGATGAACTTTCGTTTTTATGGTGATTCCATAAAGATTTCGTTAACCGGAAGAATTGCCGTGATCCGAGTTGTAATATCATGTTTTGCCTGTTCATCTGGTATTAGAGTGGACCCAAGGTATTTGAAATCAGGCACTTCCTCAACCGGCAATGAATTTACAAAAAGAGGCTTTTTATCAGCTTCTTGCACATAAAACAAAAAAACTTTCGTTTTAACATTGATCCTGAGTCCAATTCTCGCTGCAGTTACTGATACTCGTACTTTTCCTATAGTTTTGGTTAAATAATCTTGGATTTGACTTGCTTTCTTTATTGGAATTTTTTTAAAACAAGATTTAAAAAAAAAATAGATTTAAATAAATAAAAATTTCTATTGAAATAAAAATTTGTTAAAATAATAAAAATAAAAATTGTCAAAGTTCATTCTATAATGAATATTATGAATAATTAATATTGTTATTAATGTAATTTTTGTTTTTCACATATATCTGAATGTATCTTACATTTTCCAATTCACCATTTTTAAATGGAAGTACCAATATAACTGATCATCCTGGTTAGGTTCACTGATTATCAGTAGAGTGAAAAATTTTTAGAGAAGAGTCAGCTGGGCAAATATACAAACTGGTCGATCTGACAATTAAGAAGTTTTAGAGATAAATTTATTTTATAAATTTATAAATTTGTAAAATAATTTATAAATTTATAAATTTTAGAGATAAATTTCTTTCAGAAGTAGGAGGATGTGAACTACTGGTCTGAGCTACTAACCATTCGGCTTCATTTTAAATTCTCCTATAAAAAAACTGGGAAAAAAATCACATGAAAGAAAAAAAAAAACAATTTTTCTTGAAATAAGAATCTATCACAATAATAAACGTGGGAAAAAAAGAAAACTTAAGATATTTAAAAAGAAATTGTTTTTCAAAATAAAATATACTTTATATACTTTTTTAAATATTTAAATTTCTTTATAAAAAAACCGCAATTTTACTAAAATCACAATTCTTTATTTTTATTCAAATTTATGAGATTTTTTGACTAAATTAAGATTGAAAATTGTCTAACAAATCACCCGGAAATCTTATTTTTAATTTTAACCAAATCATTAATGACATATGCTTAAAATATGTTTAAAGTTTTAATATATTTGAAAAATATATCTAAAGTTTTTAGTCAAAAAATCTTATAAATTTCCTTTTCCCCTTTCTTCTAGATTCTGGAACCTTTTAATCTATGTACATCCTTACGAGTATAAATAAGAATGCATATAAAAACTCATATCATTCCTAAAGATATCGAATGTCTTTGTCTTTTTCACTTCATATAGTCTATGATAGATTTCAACTTTTTTTTATAGAAAACATTTTATATATGCTATTCCCATATGATTTATTGTCAATTACTCATGGAAAAATACTTAATGTGACAACTCAAATTTCTTGTCAACAAAGAAAGAAGTTAATAAAAATGGAAAAATTATGGAGGAATGGAAAAACATAATCTATCCTTAGTAGTTACCATTTCCAATTAGGCTATTAGCAGGTTAGAAATTTTTGCCAGAGAGCCACTCAGCAAAAGAAATGCAAACGGGTCGCCAGCACCACCTGGGATTTTCAATATCGCGTTTATGCCTACCAGCAAGCCGAATCCTTGCCTCTCAGCACGATAATTCCAAGTAAATTATTTGGAAATCCTTTTTATGCGAAGATTGAATAATACGAATAAAAATTTTTACAATTATATGAATAATGGATTATATGAATTATATGAATATTTGGGAATGAAAATGATGGAGAAAAATTAAATTAATTCATTCGTCAAAATATTCCCATTCTTTCCGACAAAACATAAATTAGTGCTGCGATAGTTCAATGACAATGAGAATTTAATGGAAATTGAAAAAATTAAATTGATTAGTGAAGAAGGGGAATATTAATGCGAAAAAAAAGCTAATCAGTTAGACGAAAATAAAATTTGAACTTCTGGCTCCTACAAAATAAAACTGGTAACAATTGATAATAAGAAGCTATTCAAACTTTTATTGTCTAAAACAAATAATACTCTTCTTTTTCACAGAAAGTTTTATCAGCCTTATAAACATAAACAACATTTCCCCAACTATTTGCTCTAAACCCTTCCCTTTGAAAAACCCACATGAACTTTAGTAATAGAGATTTAAAAAATTTTTAAAAATTTTGTTAAATACATTTTTTTTTCGTGGAGTATTCCGCTAGTTTGTCGGAAATTTTGGTTGGAAGACAGCGTTAGAAGTGCAGATAAGGCACTGCCCGGGAAGGGTAGATTTACTCCTACCGGATATAGCCCCAGCGTCAACCTCTGACGCTCTGAGCGACAACCCACTGAACCATTCTATCCCCTTTCACTTTGACCTTTCGGTCGCTCGAGGAAGTATTGTTTATCGGATTACGCTCATTTTCGATTCCTCGTAGTAATCATATTGCCGGTACTATGGTATTATGGAAATGGTTCGGTTCTGATCAATTTCTTAAGTTTATTTTTTGTTGTATTAGTTAATTATGGGAAGATTTTGAATCTATATTATACAGTATAATATAATATAATATCCTCTTTCCCACTTTCTGCAGGTAAAATGTGAAAAATCCCCTTTGTAAAAATACTGAGGGTCCACTGCAGTCCTCGACCTTACTTTGAGAACCGCAAAAAAAACAAATCGTAAAATTGAACGATTATCGTCATTCATCAATCTCTTCAATTTTAATTCAAAATTCAACTTATCATAATTTTAAATCGAGATTAAGCAAAAAATCAAAAAAAAAGTTGGAATATGTTGGATTATTGAAACCATTGAAATCTTATGAAGGAAAATGCGATAATGACGAAAAACCATTTATTTGATGGAAATAATCTTTTAATTATTTCTCGATTCATTGAGAAAACTGAAAACTGGAAAGTTTGTCACTGGATTTGTTTGTCATTTTGAAATATATAAACGGATTGACAAATAGCTGAATCGGAGGAATTAAAGCAAAACCTCCATGCACTGGAAAATATTATTTATAATTTAACAATTGATAATTACGAAGAAACTATTTGCAAATTTCTTTCAGTAAATGCTAATGAAAAATTTAAGCATAAAATGGCGGCGTATATTAAAATTAAATTTTAGTGAAAACAGAAATTCAAATCTTTGCAAAAAAAATGGTGTAAATTTTCTCTCCAAATTTTTGCCATTTAGCCAGCAAAAAATATTTTTCAATTCGGGAAAAACATAATGCAAATTTTTGTTTAAACACAAATTAATTGCTCTTGGAGAAGTTTATTTGACGTTATAATCAATAGTTAATCCAAAATATGGATGATGCTTATTTTCAATTTTATCCTTTCGTAAATAAAATAGATATTTGAAAATTTTACTGCTTTTTTCAAAAATCTGCAAAGCTGTAATTCTTATGAAGTTTATAAATCTACAATTTTTACAAAAATCTGTAAAAAAAAATACATTATACATAAAAAATAAATTCTTTAAATGAAAGATCTTGCTTCCAACTTACTTGCTTCAATGTACATAAATAAAAGTGTTATTTGCTTTTATTTATTTGTTATAAATGAATAACTTTTCTTCTCATCGCAGTTCTTCATTTCAAATAAAGAAGGAAATTTATAATTAACAAACAACTATTCAAAATGAAGACAAAATCTTTCATAAGCACTAATAATAATAATATTAATAATTAATATGGATGTCAATATAAATAGCAATAATAATAATCTCGTTAATTCTATATTCCATTAAGTTATATTAAAATTTCATTTCTCGGAATCATATCACTCGGAATCACACGGAATTGTAAAAATGACCGAAAATAAATGATGAATTAGAAAAGTATAACGAAAAGCAATGCAGTAAACAATTGGAAAAAAAGAATGAAATAAGATTTTTCCATTAGAACCATTAGTTGCTTATTTTTTTCTGCAATCCATACAAAGAATGAGAAATCTATCCAACAATCTCAATTATATTAAAAATATCCGATAAAAAAAGCAGAAGACTTGTCTTCATTTAAAAATGCAAACATTAAAGTCATAATGACGATAGCAAGGATGACGATGCCGATGCCGATGGTAAAGATGACGGCGACGAGAAAATGAAGAATTTTGAAAAGATTACTGCTTTACATACAATATAAATAAATACTTGTTAAGGTTAAACAATGAATACGATGAAGTAAGAAACACCGATCTTTAATTTGGAGAAACTCTAACCTAAAAATTGGCGAAAAATCCTACCCTTATTAATTTATTAAATAATAAAATGAATTAATGCTTAACGCCCTCTGTGATAACATAATAATATTACAGAATAATGTAGCTAATTATCTTAGCAAACTCTTTTTTAAAGAGTGGCATTCACCATTCCTGGTTTGATATGAAAGATTGCTAGTAGACGGCACTTCGGCATTAACTGGATTTCGATTTAAACAACAGATTCATTTCCGTCGCAACCCAGCAGATGTGATCTCAGTCGAAACAATATATAACTCGACTACCCTGCCTGATTCTTAAGAAATAAATCGCTTTAAAAAAAAACCTTGATTTTCAACTGTTCACAGCCTTGCTAATCAAGCCAAAAAAATATTTTTTTGTTGTATTAATCTGCGATATTAATACAATTTACTTTTAAAACAATTCACAATTCCAATTACATACTAATTTCAGATCAGTGGGTTTATAGCTATGTAACCTAGTAACGAAGAAAATGATAATGAGTGAGCAATCATCTATATAAACCAAAGAGAGTAAATAAAATTAAAGAACCTGATTTTCTATTCTCGACGGACAATTCATTCGTTAAATCCATTTTTCTATCAATGAAAAAAAACGAAATACCATTTACATAGGACTGATAATATAAAAAATATAAAAAAATCACTAAAAATTCTTCTTAAAAAAGTGCTTAAAATAAAAATTATATAAAAGACTGAAAATCGATGAAAAAAATTCTAAAGTTAATTTTCTAAAATAATTCCTCGCTATAAATATTCCGTGGATAAATGTCATGGAAATCATGCCTTTTTAACGATATAATCGATAGCATGCAATTCGTTTCACAAATTCTATAAAGCAAACTCCAATCAAGCGTGAAAAAAAAACCAAAGTAACCTGAAATTACAAACAAACATCATGGATCTCATATATATATCAAAATATATATCAATTTTCGCTTAATTGACGACAATTAACTCGCTTAATAGCCTGGGAAAAGCAGTTAATCACCCAGTGTTTTCTACAAAAATCTCTTAAGTTGAACAAGTAGTCAATTGACTAATTCTAATTTAAACAGGACAGGAACTTTCAATAACCCTCGAGAAGGCCGATAATCGGCTAATACGCCTAACATGACTGATAAAATATATACACAACATACACAACATATATACAATTATACACAACATATCTATAATAATAAAATATTACATAAATTCGCCGCATTTATCAACAATCTAAATTGAAACAAAACAAAACAAATCATTGCAAAATCTAAAATTCGTGCAATATTTATTTAACAAATAATGAGGAGAATTAGCGCAACCAAAAACATCCACAACCCACAAAAACCCACAAAAATAAGTAAAAAGGAGAGGAGGAAAAAAGATTGAAAAGAAAGAAATATCTTCAAATTTTCGTTCTTTTTATGTTAAATTATCAATGAGCCATGTTAATTTACACCACTGCGATGAATGACGAATTATCGCATTTTTATCCATTCAATGAACATACGAAAATTAATGATTATTTAAGCAAGGAATTCGATTTTGCTAACTTAATTGAATGTAGAAAAAACGAATAACATCAGATAATTAAAAACTGATGGGAAAGATGAAAATATTAAGAAGACGCACTGCTGTAACTTAAGAAATGTTTACCGACTTCTCGCAATTCATATTTTAATATAAAAATTTTTCAAACATTTTTTCTCAAGTCGTAATTTAAAATTCTTATACCTTTAAGAATCGTAAATAAATATTTAATAAATAAACAAAAAATGGGATTTAAAAAATTAAAAATAAGAGAAAAGATCAATCTCAAAGGATAATTTAAACAGACGATAGAATAGACAAAAAAATTTTGAAACAAGTTTTCAGAAAATGAAAGCGATAAGCGATGGACATTAAAAAGTAGGGCAAAAATCAAAAAAAGACTTATTCTACTCATTTAGTATCTTCAAACAATATCTCTGAATATCCCAACAAATTTCGTTATATTCCTTTAACACTACTTTTACCCAGTCCTTAACATATTTCTTTTTAGTCTCATTATCTCAGATTCCCATCATATTCTTTCGCTAGGCCTATGGACTGACAGAAGCGATATAGTACAAACAGCATCTCTTTAAATAAAATTAACTGACCGAATTAATTTGAATATCTTGATAATGAAGAAGAAAAGAAAAATGTGGAAGGAGATTTTAATAATATACAGAAGCAAAACTGTTTGTTGCGATGTTTACTGACTATAGTGAATCTATAGTGAACCTGACAGAGTATTAAGTTTAATTTAAAGCTGTTACCAAAAAAAACTATAACAAATGATTTACGTCGGAGAATATCAAAAAAACAAAACTGGATTCGGGAAAGGATTCGGATAAGATAGAGATTCTAAGAAAATATTGGCTAAGTACAAAAGAAGTAAGTAAAAAAGTCTGAAAGGCTTTAAGAGAAAATTACTGGTTACTGGTTGATAGGATTACTATAATGGGAGGAGGATGAGAAGCTGAAGGAAATAATGTAATTTTTGGACATTAAGAGATTCAAAGAGCTTGGAGTAACTTTCGGTAAAATTTTCTAGTTTTTTGAGGCATATCAAAGAATTTCAAGAAAAATTAATTATAAGGCTTTTACAATAATTAATTATAAGGCTAAATAAGATTATAATTGAAAAGTAGACATATTCTTATGTCTACTTTTAATTTACTTTTACGAAATAAGACTAACAAAATAAGCATTTGAAGTGAAAAACTATAATCTTAAAAATTTTAAAAAATCTTCATCAAATTAATTTTTTTTTCAAGAACGCTCATCATTACTGGTTAGAATCACTTCGCTGGCTTATCGTAAAAAAACACACCAGGGTGACCCTTGGCAATATAGAGTAAAGATGAACCGCCAGCACCACTCGAATTTTCGTTCACTCTTGTGGGGAAAACCGCATCAGTACTCCAACCCAGCAAAAAGGATTCATTCAAATACTTACTTCATAAGCCATTTCTAAATGTCCTAGACCAAAATAAATCGCTTTGCTTAGATCACCAAGATTCCGATAATCAGAGGCTAGTGTAGCAAAAGCTCGAGCTTCTCCAACACGATCGCCAAGTTTACGCGCTAATTTCAAATAACGAGTATGAAATTCGGAGGCTGAAAATCTATCGCGTTAAGTTGGGTAAATTCTTATACCATAAAATAATATGAATATAAAAAAATCAATTTATAAAAATATAAAACATCTATACCTGATTTTGATTTTTCAATTAAATACATTTTAGAATATTTGCAGCTCTTTTCATTAAATTAAATTAAACTTATGCACTCATTTCATTTGTCCTTCATAAAAAATGGAAATAATGTATAGAAGTCATATATATATATTTCAGCAAATTCCAGAAACAACAACACAGATCTCTGTCCAAGACAGTGCACTGCCAGGAAGAGTGAAGAGTGAAGAAGCTTCAATCTACCAGGTAAAGGACCCGACGATCTTTGAAGATGATCTTTACCACAGAGAAAAGTACTATTTTTATGTGGAAAATTTCACATTTTACGAAAATTTAATATTGAAATAAAGATTTCAATCTGATAAAAAATTGACTATTGAAAGTTTTTTTTCAAATTTCTGTGTTTATATCGTATGTTAATTGAAAGAAACCAACAATAAATTAATTTAGACACTCATTTTAAATTCATCTAGATTTTTTAAAACCCAAAATATGAAAATAATTTCAAAAAATTGATCAAAATACCTCTAGAAAAAATATAAAGAACTGTTTTATTAAAAAAAAAACCTGTTAAATGATCACCAGAAATAGCTGCACCATTGCCAACATTAAAAGAGCATTGTGCTTCAGTAATGTCATCCTTTAATTCAATCGCTAGTGAATATGCTAACCTTAAAAAATAAGATTTTACGAAAAAGAATTAGTCAGATCATGGGCTTGATTAAAAAATCAACAAAAATTGTAAAACATATTTCCTTTTTATTTTTACAGCTTAATATATAAATATTCAATTATTTAATAAATACTACGTAATATATCTGAGATTTCAATTATATTTTTCATTCATTGCTACTAATTATCAATTTGCAGAAAAATATTAACATTATTTGTTTAACTTATATCTTTCATTTTCCTTCAATTTTATTTTATAATTGTCTTATAATTTAATTTTATAATTAAAAAATACCTTTAAAGTTTTAATGGCGAAATTTAACATAACATATCTTAAAAACTTAAAATATCTTATTTATTCAATTATTCATGAAGAACACATACCAAACTATGAATATGAAATATAAAATTTTTAAATGCTTTAAATTATCTTATCGTTTTCCGACAACGTTAATAAGCAATACCGATAATAATCGAGAGCTTTGCTTGGCTCTGAAAGAAAAATATGAGCATTAGCCAGATTTGTATAAGCTCGTCGCATTGCAGCTCTATCGCCAAATTGTCGTGCAGTGTCAAGACGCTAAAATATACAAGATAAAAAAAACATTAACTAGTGTGTGAATTAAAAAAAGAAAAAGAAATAAAAAAAATAAAAAGATAAAATCAAAATTTTTGGCAGGAAAGATATAATTCCTTTTATCTTTCCTTTTTTGCATTGTGAAAAAGTTTAATAGTGAAATTATTAATAAAATTATGAAAAAGAAAGAACTCGAAACTGCTCCTCACAAAAAAAGTACTTTCTAGTCAGAAATAATAAATAAAAACCTTATTGTGATAGTGAACCGCAGTTTTATAATCGCCAAGCATATAATAACTATTACCTAAATTACCATAGACGCGACCACAAGCAGCTAAATCTTTCAAATTTTCCACTATTTGCAAATTTTGCCTGAAATTTATTAGTTTATCATAAAATTGACCATGAAAAAAAAATTTTTAAAGTATTCATCATTGTTTGACTCGCTCAGCTGGCTTGTAGACAAATATCCAGGGAGTCTTTTGGCATTAGAAATACATATGAATCGCCAGCACCATCCGCAATATATTTTAAGCTTTTAGCAATATATTTATATAAAAATTCCAATTTGATCTTATTAAAATGAGAAGTCTGGTTTTCAAAAAAAAAACTCGCAAAGAATCCATTTTAGAAAAAAAATTATTTGTTTAATTCCCTTCTTAAAAAATGAAAATTTCCAAAATTCAGATGATCAAAATATGAATAACATAGGAATGCTCACAAATAGCAATTAATAGCTGCTTGCAATTGTGAAGTAATGTCAGGATTGGCCATTGTTAACAACGTTGAATCGTCGGCACGCGTAGCAACACGTATGAAAGACTTGGCGCGGCAATGATATATGGAGGCAATATTATAAAGAGCACGAGCTTCATATTCCTTAAAAAATTTAATGATTAACTATAAATAATATTAAATAATATTAAAATTAAATTGAGCTTGGAAAATTTAAAGAGGCTAAATTTTTAGCCCATAGTTAATGTTCGATAAAATTTACGAATAGATATTTATGAAAATAAGCAAAAAATTCGATTTTAAAGAATGTAGAAAATTAAGATAAAGAACAGAATACCAAGAAAACATTAAAAAATAATAATGAAAAAACTAAAAGAAAGAATTTTCATGACTTGGAAAGCGACCGATTTAAAAGAATGAATTAGGTGACCAATATTTCTACCAACCGCTTGGACATAGAAGTATAGAGATGTCATAAATGTATATTGAATGATAAGTCTGCTTCTATCAAAGGATAATCGAACCCATGGTCTCAGCTAATAAAGATATTCGATCATCTTTAGTTTCTAATCAAGCTAAATAAACAATATTTATTAGGTATACACCAGATAAAAAAGTCGACAGAACAGACCTTGTCATTCAATTCTCGTGCAAGTCGAAGATGATCAACAGCATGATCATATGCGTTATCATAACTACCTAATGCTTTATAGGTATTTGCTAGATTTCCATGCGCTTTGGCCAAGCCCGATTTTTCCGCCAAAATCCTGAAACTTTAACTCTTGGAGCTGAAAATTAGCCAGAAAATGAAAGAGGTAAACCTGCTATCAACTTTTTGACAAAAAAATGGTAGTCCAGTAATTTCACCATACGCATTCCAAATACCGCATGTCACAAAATTTATTTTAGTGAATTAATTAATTTAGTCTTATATTTAATGAAGGTATATTTATTTTGACTATTTGAACAATTTAAATGAATAAATATGAATTCGTTGCAGACAAATACATAAAACAAACAAACTTGGCTGTTTCTAGGTCATACTGATGATATTCTAACGCTTTCTCGAAGTTACGCAAAGAAAAATAAGCATTTCCTAACTGTGAATAGATTGCTGAAACAGCTTCAAGACTGCGCCCACCCAAATCAACTTTCTTTTCAAGTGCCAATTCCAGATATTTAATGCCTACAATGAAAAAATATGGCTTTTTGTTGCAAATATGAGTGTAAACAAAAATATATATTTAATATATTTAAAGACAACATTTGCATACATAGCATTAACACTTTCTTAAATAAAACTCATAAACTTGAAGAGGCTATAGGATTCTGTGATAGGAGTTCAGCGGGATGTTGTTCCGACTTGTTTTAAGGGCAATGGAATTGATTTTTCATTCTTGATAGAAATAAACTTGCTATTAGAACTGAAATGAACCCATTCCTAATTCCATTCTCAATTCTCTGGCTGGTGACCACTTCATTGGTTAATAGAAGTAGCCAAATCAGAAATGACAAATGCTGTTAAAGAAAAAATTGTTTCATTTATGACGCAAAATGCACCATTTGCACCATTTTAAGCTCAAATTTTCATCACCTTTTGCTTAAAAATAATTTAAGTGAGCAAAATAAGGAAATTCGAAATTGAAAAAATAAATATTTTTCAAAAAAAGCATTTGTTACTTTAAAAAATTAAAATTGATTGGAGTCAGAAAATTAATCGGGGAAATTCAATTTCTCCGCTTCGAGTGATAATAAAAGAAATTTAAATAAATCGCAATAAGCCAACCAGATTTCATATTGTTTTCCCTGCATAAACGTTCACCTTCTTGAGCGAGTGCGAGAGCATCCATGCCTTCAACAGCCAAAGGTACGCTCATAAAAGACTAAATGAAAATAAATGACTGCAGGAAATGTCTCAACCAGCTTCGCAGCAGGTGCAGCTGGTTTAAGCAGCAACGAAGAAAAAGTGCGCTCAAAGAAAAAATGACAAAATTGTTTATTTCCCCACAATTTCGCTGAAATTTCCGACGCGATCCCTTAAAAAGAAAATTAATTCCAAAAACTGAGAAATTAATTATAAAACTTAAATTCAATATTCCCACTAAAAATTGAGTTTTATTTAAATTAAAACTGTTAAGAAAGGAGTGAGCGAGCGACTGCCCGTCGCCTCCAATTCCATTTCGCGCCCAACGAGTCTCGGAGGCGAAACGCGTCCTTTCGGCCGTCACCAACGCCGTCGCCGACAGACACCGCTCTCACCTCCCTCCTCGAGCACCCTCCCCGACAAGCATTTCTCGAAAGTTCATTCCGAAAGGAGTGGCGAGTGCTCGCTTCGCGATGAACAACACCGAAGAATATCAAAAGGAACGAAAAACTCGAATCTGTAGAGCCTAAACTCAAACTCAGCTAAACTATCCAAACTAATAATAAATAAATCAAATTTAAAACAACATTAAAAAATCGAAACTGTAAGACGAAATCTACGCTGCGTTTTTAGAGTGGTTGAACCGCTAAGTAAAAAATCCGAAGCCGTATTCCTCTGCGGTTTAGTAGTACACATCCGTGCAGGGTTGTCCCAGTTATTTTCAAACTTTGTAGGTGGTTTTACTGGACTCGAAGCTTCAGCCGTTGTGTTCGTTCTTTATGCTGGCCATCCAAATTTCATTTCATCCAGCAGTGTATCTCTCTTTTTAAATTTCGCCCTTCGTTTCTTATTTCCACCTGATTCTATTGCCACTTTGCCACTTGCTATTCCATAAAATCTAGCTGTACAACTGAAGTAAGAGAAGGAATCTTCCTGTCTTCTTAAAGTTCATCACGTTTTCTTAATGTATCCTGTTGGACTCGCCTGCATTAAACGCCTTCTTCTCAGTTCTCCACTAACGTCATCCAACTTGTGGAACTCCCAGCAGGCCAAGTTTTCAGTTCTCACAAGCAATATAGTGGTTTTTATCATTAATATATAATAAAGAGCAGTATATTAGGGGGCTGTTGCGGAGCGTCATAGGGAACTATTGAAAAAATGTCGTGTTAATGCCAAAAAAATAAGGTGCGATATATATGTTAAATAGTATTAAGTGGTTCGATACTGTGGAGAATTACACCATAGTTTTCAAAGAAATTATCGAGAAATTAATATCAAGAAATTGTAATCTATCTGAGAGTTAAAGTGGCAAAGGAAGATAACATTTATGATGGAATATAGCTAAAAAATAAACGAGTTTTGATGGTATCCATTACAACGGGCTTACGAAGCAGTATCGAAAGCTCTGAGTTTATTACAGAGAGTCTGAAAGGTGGTTGTGATGCCCTAAAAAGATCTGCTAACGCTAACGTATTAGAGCAAAAGAGAATTCATGGATGGACTTCGTTTACCTCATTTTAAGGGGAAATAAAAAAGCATTATATAACATAAAAAACATTAATGCAAGGACAGGAAAGAATACAGGGTCCAAATGAGGCGAGGTCAAGGGTCAAAAGAGACTCACATCCATCTATGTTGATCTTAATTTTTGACTGATATGATTTTTTTTTAATTCAGTTCTTTGATTCAGTTTAAATCATTTCACATTTTTTGTCTTCTTTTGCAGATATTTCTCTTTTCGTTTTTGTTACCTGTATTGAATTATGTTTTCGAAAAATTCCAGCAGTGTCGAAACATTATCAGCTATAAGTGGTGAATATAAGAATACGAAAAAATTGGATCTCCGAGGTGAAATCTTAACTTCCAAGGCATATTTTTACAGTAGTTTTATAATTTATAATTTTATAATTATTATATAGTTTTTATATTTATACGAAATGTTTACAGTGTAAGAGTCCATTAGTCAAAATTATTCTTATAAAATCAAAGGAAGTAATATTAGTTTTTTAAAACCATATTTTTGAATTAAAGATTTAAAATTTTTTCAAACCTATATGAAATTCATTTAATTGTTATTATAATTCTTTTTTTCTTTCATGAAATTACAATCTCTTTTTTCATAATTTTTATGCGAAATGAGATTTAAATTAATTACAATAAATAATTTAGATGGTATTGTTCAGAATTGTACGCACAAAAACAAGTCAGGAATTTTCAAAATGGCAGAAATAAGGCGAAAATTCAAAACTCTTGGTAAAAAGAAAAATTTTGGTACTTTTTGTGAAGATTGTGACCGGTTAGATTCGATTGTCACTAATTCTGTGGTTAGTTTTTCATCCTAATGAGAATTTTCATCCTGATGATAATTGTTTAATTTTCGGTTATTTAGTAAGAGGTTATTCTTTTTTCTTGTTTGTTTATTTTTTTATAGTGCTATTTTTTGTTTTAGATCTCTTTATGTGTTTCTTGTGGTTTTTTTGGATGTGAAGAGCATAGTTTGGCACATTACAAATCTTCAGTTTGTACTTATCAACATTCAATATTCTTATTGATGAGCAACAATATGTTCAGGTAATTTCATCTGTTTTCATTATAATGTTTTTTTTCCATTTTTCTTGAGTTCTTCTGGTGCTTAAATAGCAACTACAAAATTTCTATTACTAAATTTTTAGAAGTTCCTTTAATTAAATTTTTCAGATGCTTGAGTTGTGTAGTGGATATTCGAGCGCAAGGAGAGAATGGGCCAGCAAAGAACTTTTTAAATGGTTTTACTTCATTTATAAAAGTACGTTCAAAATTACCTGGTCCCTCAGTTTTTCCGGTCTTTTCATCGGAACTTATCGACGACAACAACAATCCAAATAAGGAGAGCAGTGAAGTAAAAGAGTCAAATGTAAACAGTATTTCCAATTCAAAACAATCTACTGATGAAAAAATAGATGTTATATCTGAGAAGCAGCAAATGAAAGATTTTTCACAACCTCCGAAGGTAATTCCCAGATTATTCCATATCTGTGACTTAAGGATATTTGTGAAATTAATATTATCAGATATATGCGTTGTATGGTGTGCTGCATTAACATTTGTGTACATTTGTATATATTTCTTTATTATATTTTTTGCTTTTCATTTGCATTATACTTTTCAGGGACTGGTAAATCTTGGCAACACATGTTTTTTCAATTCAATTATTCAGTGTATTTTATTTACGCATCCCATAGAATTTTACATTGAAAAAGTGGGAAAGCGAAAATTTATCAAAGTTCCATCTTTCGCTGATGCTGCTGGTCAAGCCAATGCAAAGATTTATTCTTCCCATGTCAGTCAAATTAAACATGATGAATTAAATTATTAGCTGAAAAAGTGTTTAGAAAAAAAAGTTAGCCGAGTGAGATGAAAGAAATATCACATTAAGACTGTAGATGAAACCCTATAAGAAAAACTCTATTTTCTTTTAGGTTTATTCCAGTACAAAGCTATCATTAAATCTATTCAATGGTTCCTTGAACGACCATTTTATATGTTTTTTCCGTGAATTTCATGCAGGTCATTCAGTTCATCCAGCTGCTCTTTTTAATGAGATTGTGTATAAGTGAATTTTTCTCTTTTTTTCATTTTTTCTTTCAAATATAATTTTGTATCACGATCTTATTTTTCGAATATTCTCTGTATATGTTAAGAAAACTATGTGGAATTAAACTATGATTGTGCAATTTGGAATATTGTACTAGCATCAGTGAACCTTTGTTTCAGTAATTTTTTATATTTTCTATTCTTTTAGGTCTCCTCGATTTCGTGGCTGGGCACAGCAAGATGCACATGAATTACTGCGCTATTTGTTGGATGGACTGCGGATGGAGGAAATAAATTGGTACAAAGAAGCCATAATGCAATATTTGAAATCTTGTAGTCCAAGAAATGGTATAAATTCATCAAATAATGATCGTTTTGTTGAACGGGTATTTGTTTATATATGTTTCTTCTATAATTTAAAAAAATATTACAACAGATGCAATGAATTTACAATGCAAATTTTGGATCTTAGAACAAAATTATTTATTTTTCAGTGATATATTAGCGATTTTTGCCAATTTTTGGATTCTAAATGCTGAAAGAAATTTGAAGAAATATTTTAAATGATTTTTGAATTGATGATTATTTCAATTTTCAGCAAATGCTAAAATCTTGCGGACGACCACTTTTGGATGCTGTTTTTGGTGGGACTTTATTGCAGACTATCAAATGTTCTAACTGCGGTCATCTTTCTCGAACATTCGAAGAATTCCTCGACCTTTCTCTTCCAGTGGCATCATTTCCTACCAACAAGATGCACAAATCTTCATCTTATCTTAGCAAACGTCAGAGGAAAAAGAAAATCAAAGTTGAAGAATGGAAGGTTAATTTTATTTTGCTACTTTCATTTTATTTTTACTTTATTACTTTAAAAATTTTTTCTATAATAATTTTATCTTCTCCAGTGGTTGATTTTGTTTCATTTTCTATCATTTTAGAATATTCGAAGAAATTCTGTTGGAGAAAATAGTAGCATAAACAATGAGCATCTAATTGTCGAATGCGGTAATGTTGTCAATTCCGAATTAAGCAATGGTTTTATTTGCGAATTAGACGAACATATAAGTTAGCTTTATATTTATAGCTTCATACATTTTTTATCAAATTTCAGATCCATTTTTTTGGTTTGTTGGAGTACTACTGTTTTTTTGCTCTTTTTCACTAATAGGTTATTGATTTGATAAACTAATTACTGATGGTCATAAACTCAACCATTATGTTACTGAATATTAAAAAATTTTAAAATTCATGCTATCAGGACCATATAGGTTAGACTCACTAATTAATAGGTTGGTTTTTTTGTCATTGATATATTTTTTTTTCATAATTTTTTTTTTAAATCGCTCCTTTTAAATGTAATAATGCTTTAGAAGCATTTACAGATAATATCAATGAAAAAATGGAACAGTTATCGGTTGATCCTGCGGATCCTGATGGTTGTTCACCGCTACGAATGCTTGCAGATGAAGAAAATTTACCTGGCTCGTTAACTTCATGCTTAAGAGCTTTTATAACGGAGGAAATTCTTCGCGCGGCAAATGCTTATGAATGTGAAAAATGCTGTCTTCCTCAAAATAAAGAGGTTATTTTTTATGATCTATTGCTTTTGTCTAGTTGATTTCTAAAATTTTGCAGATTTTTATGATTTATAATTTAGGATGTTCGACTTTTATTAATTATAATTCCATAATTATAACTTTTAATTTATCATAATAATTGTTTTAGCAATCTAATGGCCTGAAGCGAAAGACTGTGGAAGCGTCGAAGCGTTATTTGATTTATGAACCACCATTAATTCTAACTTTGCATTTGAAAAGATTTGAGCAGGTTAGTATTTATATATTTTCTCTACATCTTGGCATCTTTGTTTTTTAGTGGCTCAACCATATTTAATGTACTTTTAAATTGCAGATTCAATCATTGAGTGGGCAAAATTATGTACGCAAATTTGGAGGGCATATTTCATTTCCATCTATTCTTGATATTGCTCCATTTTGTTGTCAGAGTGCCAAGGTTAATGATGATTTAATATATTCCTTTTTAATCAATGGAAATTACTTCAGATTAGTTGAGATATGATTATTTTATGCGAATTCTGAAAATAGTATACATCACCATTTATTTGTATAAAGATACTTTTTTAGCGAGTATCGAAAAATCATAAAAGTATTTTGTATTCTTTATATGGTGTTGTTTGTCATTCCGGCGATTTATCGAATGGTCATTTTGTTTCATATGTACGCAGGCGAAAGTTCAATTCGAAAACTGCAACTTTCTTCGATCAAGCATCTACTCAAACAAAGCAGGAAGATGAATTTAGCGATGCAGAATGTGTTAATGAAAAGTAATCTTCTTAATGTTATTCGTTATCATTTTTTATTATTCAGATGAGTCTAAATTTATTGTCAGAGTGCCAATATTTAATATTATTTAGCTGTCTAAAAATTTAAATTCATTTTTTAGCTATCTAAATTTAATTCATTTTTTGTTTTTTAAAGTAGTAGTTTATTAACTAATTTCGATTTATCAATTCAGCTTCCTTGTTGCTTTCCTTTAACAAAAATCGCGGATTTAACATTATGCAAATAAGTCACTACAAATATTTCGTTGAAGATTTAGATTATTTTTTATTTACTTATTTACGACAGAGGATTTGCAGAAATTGGAACTGTGATGGAGGTGAATGGTATTTCACAAGTGATTCGCGAGTTTGTACCGTACCATCATCTCGTGTGTTCAATGCAGAAGCCTACATTTTATTTTATGAGCGCCTATCCTAATCTTTCGAATTTCTTATGTTTTATGTAAAAACTGTTATTCTTTAATTTTTCTGCAACAATATCTAACCAACCGTCTCGGTTAATTTTTTTATTATTGATTTGTTTTGTGATAGACAACGGGTAATTTTATTCTCTATTTCAAATGAAATTTTATTTTTGCGTTATTCTCATTATTTGCATTATTTCTCATTATTTTATTTTTATTATATTGATATTGTTAGGATTAATTGCAGTCAATGCATTAATTGTTTAATTAATGTATTGACTGTTTCACAATTGATTTTCGTATTTAATCAAAAGTTTTAAATAGAATTATAAGGGCATTTTGTTTGAAAAAGGTATTTTAAAGGTATTTTATTTAAAAAATGCTTTTTATTTGAATTTAATCAATTCTAATGCACGATTTTAATGATTTTGTTTTTGATAAATTAAATTAATGTTCGAGAAATTCGAAATAATTATTTCACCTTGTTTAAGCCTTTAACTTCGAATGGATCTGAAAAGAAATTTTTTTTTTTTTATTTATTGGATAATTTATTATTAAAAGTGAAAGTGATTTTTATGCCTTTCATTCATATATTAATACTATTTAGTAATACTATTTTGTAAGGAAATATTCTTGTTTTTATTGCTAAATATTGTTTTTTATTTCGCAAAAGTTAGTTTAAGATTGTTCATTTTTTACTGAAATAACGAAATTTATAAAATTTTTAAAGGAATTGGGCAGAATTTTGAATTGAATTGAATCAAAATTGAATTTTTTTTCGAAAGCATATGTTTTTAACAAATTAAGAAGATCTTTCCGGTGATCATGGTGCTTTTATCGTCATATTTAGCCAGCAGTAATGCTTTTTGGCATTTATCTGGTACAAGGTTGGTTTTTGTCTGGTTCGTGGCCGTTATTAATTCCTTTCGAACCAGATAAATTCTAAATTCTATCATTCAATCATTCGATGAAAAGTTGGATTTTTGAAAGGCCGAGAATAGAACCCCCGCGACAGCTACTGAAATTTTTCTACTTCCCTGAATTATTTTAAAATGAATACATTCTATATTATTTAATTATTTGTTATAATATTTTATAATATAATTACAATAATATTTTTTGCCAAAGAATAGTCTCCAGCGAAATCCGAATTAGTTTGATGACGGGTTTTTATTGTCAACGGGGAGAAGTTGAATCCATTTCGAATTTGTGAGCGAAAAAGTTAGTTTATTTATATTTACATAAAATCGCAATCAGTCATAATGAAAATGCAATGAAAATAAATCGGCACGTCGTTTTTTGTTAGTTTAATTAAATTAAACCCGTATAGAAGCAATAATTTTGATTAATCTGGTTATATAAGGCGTTCTTCTGCAGGTATTTTTAACAGTAAATTCATCTGAAAAAAACCAGATTTTAATGATAATTTAAATTACTTTTAGATAATTACGAGAGGAAGAAGACTGCTTTTACGGAAGCATTGTTTTAGAAATCCAACAGGAAATTATACCGGCAGACGAGCTGCTCCATTTTCTTGATTTGATGGACTGTAACTACCCTGCATCGCACGACGATCTCGTAATGTTATGATACATATGAGAACACAAATAAGTAGACTAAAAGCTAGCAAGAATACAATAATAGGACCAGCAACGTAGCTAAATGGCACAGAACTGAAAACCCGATTGATAACAAAATGTTTAAGAATACTCGTAAATATGAATTTTGAATCTAAAGTAAATTATGGCTCCTCTCTTTTAGGATTAAAAATATTTTTACTTGCTAAATTCTTGTTGAAAACAGTATAACCCAGAATATCCTTCATCACACCGACATTCATAATGTATATTATCCTCACCACCAGGATTGGAGATCACCGTTGGATTTATACAAACACCATGAATGCAGTTATGATGAGTGCGATTTTCTACATCAAGCAAACATGGATTTTTCATATTACATTTAGAACCAATATAACCTGAAATTTTCAAAAGTTTTTTCACTGAATTTGCCACTTGTCGTTTTTCATTTCTTAATAACGTTTAACATCAACATAGAATGAATATTTTATAGATTATTGCCATCAAAATCAACTCTTATCTATCTACCAGTAACTATTAGTATATTCTGTCAATTCTTTTAAATATGAAATGTGAAATACCATTAAAATATTCCTTCTAAGCTTTATTTTTTCTAACCTAGCTGTTCAGCCTCCTTTGGCAGCGATTATAAAGTTGTGCCATAATTCTCTTAATCAATCATCCTCTTTATCAGCTACTTTCTTAGAGTGCCAACCATTTCTAACCAGACTCGATTTGCTCGTTGGCAAGAGAAGTATAGACTGGTTTCCAGTGCTACTCGAGTTCTTGAAATATAGGTTTATTCCAGCAGGAAACATCTGCACTGGTGCTTCGGTGTCCTCATCACCTGGGTATGTGAAGAGTCAAGCCCGCTTTGATTCTATTCAAATTCAATTGAAATATTCATGGCATACAACTGAACCAATAATGTACTCATCGTCAACCGTTATATTCCTTTTTTCTTTCGCTTTTTACTTTGCATTCAGTGAAGAATAAAAAAACTCTTCTAACTATGGAGCATTTCTCGCTGGAAAGCTATTATAGTAATACCATTTCTCCATAGAGTCACCTGATGGTAAGTGCATGAGTGGGTGTCAGTAATTGCAAAAATTAAAGAATTGCGGCACTGAATAACATGTTGAATAATGAAAGAAACCTGAACCTGAATAGCAAGAACATAAAAATGATCCATGACTATTATTGCAAGTGCCATGGACACATAGACCAAGTTCGCATTCGTTTATATCATCGGTGCAGTGCAATCCTTGATATCCAGTTCCATTACAATCGCACTCGAAGCCATTTAGACGATCGATACAACGACCATTATTTTGACAAGAGCCATCCTCGCAATCGTCGATATCAGTTGAACAAGTTTCATCTCAAATGTAATAGGTAGTCGATAAAAGCTCGCTACCGATTAGCATATGTTTGAAAAAAAATCGTTTCAAATCTTCAGTTCTTTTTCAAGTATTATATTTTCTAGTTAAAGTATAATCGAATAAAAAGTTATCGGAGCACATATTTTAGAAAACTGACCTGTGAAGCCTGGAATGCATAGGCATTTGAACGACCCTATTAGACTTATACATGTGCCGCCATTTATACATGGACTTGAGCTGCAGTAATCGACAAGCTCGTCACATCGCTGTCCAGTATAACCGACATCACATATGCAAGAATGATTTAATTTTGAGTGTTGCACACAAGAGCCTGTGCTACTGCATGGTTCACTAATGCAAGAGCCAGATACTTCACATCGATCACCTTTAAATTTAAACGATAAAATAGCATCCATCCATATAACCCATATAAATCCAATAAATGGAGATAAGGTCTAACCGAAATAGAACTCGGAACATTTGCAAGTGAAAGATCCTTCTGAATTCAAACATTCGCCATTATTTTCACAAGGATATTGCAAACATTCATCATCATCATAGCTGCAATCTTCTCCAATCCAACCTTCATCACAAATGCACAAGAAATTATTCCATATAGTTCTGCAAACCCCATGTGCGCAAGGCGATTTTTTGCAAGCATCTGTTGCCTCGTCACAAAACTTTCCTAAAATACAATGCTAAAACATTCCTAAATTGTTGCTATAACCACTGGTGTACATGCGATACCTTCCATAATACGGTCCACATTAAGATCAACTGAGATTTATCAAGTAGTGAAATTCTGAAATAACCTGAATATCCTTCCGGACACGAACAATTAAACCCATCATTTAATGAAATACACCTTCCACCATTTTTGCAAACACTGTTCAAACAATAATCAACTTTGAGATCGCACAATTCACCGTAATAACCATCTGTACATTCGCACAAAAACGAATTCTTCAATTTACAAGTAGATTATTCTTTGCTTTTCGTTCGATATATTTTTAAATAAAATTTACTGACCAATTTACTTCAATCATTAACTCTTTTATTCAGTGGTTTTTAGTTACAGAAAATATTAAAATGATAATTGTTTATAACAACATGCGAAATCTTTTCGAAAGTTTTGTTTCAGTGGGTTAATGATCGAGTGGTATGGTTGCTTCGATTCGCATCGCAAGTTCGATCCCTTCCTCGATAGGAGTGAACCTATGGTTTAAAAATAGGACCTGTACTACTGCTGAGTTCCCCTCTGGACAACGGAGTTAGTCTGAATAGAAATGGTATGCGATAAGCATTTACAGATAATAGTTATAATAATAAAGATGAAAGATGAAATGCATTCTTGCCTCGTTGTCTTTGCATTTTCCACCGTTTTCGCATGGTGATAAATTGCATTTCGTTGACTGCTGAAAAATTTTTCTTTTTAAATGGGACTGAAGTTGTGGTGGGATTATTGTTTCTTCCATATCCAGAAAGATTTTGAATCCTACTGCTTCAAAAAGCAAATTAAAAATGAATGTTAAAATTTGAAAGATAAATTTTAATACTTATCTTTATGGAGTGCTGAAAATCATTCCCTCGAGAATTATTTTATAAATTTTAAAATAGATCAATTTAAACAAAAAGGGAAAGTTCAGTGAAGTACATAAAAATATCAAAAATTCGAGATTTGGCCTATAAAAAATACCTTCACTTGACATCGAGATCCAACGAATGAGATGGGACAATTGCAAAATGCCATGCCATTCCTCATTGAACAAGATCCACCATTTAAACATGACGATTTTGCACACAAATCCATCTCAATATCACAAAATTCGCCGGTAAATCCAGGATCGCACAAACAACTGCAGTCTTATTTACATTATTTATAGTCATTTGACAAATTAATATCTTTTGAAAATATTCATTTCTATGCCTTCCATCGTAGTTAAAGCATGAACAGGATTATTTAAGATATAATAATAAATAAAGGCTATCGTAAAGGGTGCATTTTGAAAAGAACGGATATTTCAACAAAAGAAAATTAAGCATAACTGTAAATAAATCGAATTCAATGAGATATATTAAATACATCCATTTTCAATTGTAAGCTTATGGTACTGGTGAGTCTCAAATGAGATTTCTTAAAACATCTTATTCATTATTGATAGAAGAAAAGCCTTTGTGAGTTACATTTCTGACTGCATTTCAAGAAAAGAAATCAGCTCTAGAAATCCAATTCTATAATAAAATTTAAATTTACTAGTTACTAATACTTGCGATATTTTATTTTAAAAAACCTGTATTTGACTGCGTTGCTGATGCATTGTCCATGCTTGCACTTATTGTCAGCACATTTGTCAATTTTTATCTGAAAATTGTCAAAGGTCATAATTGGATCATCCTGGAATTGATATGTCAATTTCCTCACCTCACAAAATTCACCGGAGTATCCTGACTGACACTTACAAAAATAGCGGTTCCATTCATCTAAACAAGATGCACCATTTTTGCATGGGCTTCGAACTCCACAAATATCTATTGAATAACATCCATCATTTCGGAGATTAACTTTATTTTTTAACACAAATACCGAAATGCTACTATTGAATAAAACACCAGCTTTCTCGGTCTCGAAAAATGAAATAATAGGTGAGTCCGCTATTTGGATATCTCTCAAACATCCCTGAAATAAGGATCCTAAAACTCCTGAAATTTATGATCTTAATTAAAATTCTTTCCAATAAAATGATAATTGAAGCAATTTTTAGGTCTAGAATATTTTTCAATAAAATAATCCATTTGAAGTCAAATATCATAGATTTGGTTTTTTTTGGATTTCTTCTCAGCCAATAAAATAATTGTAAAAACTGAAACCCGATGAAACTGTGGATCTATATGCATTTATTTTTCTCTATCGAAAGCATTCGCTCTCATAAAATATTTCAACTAACACTGAAAGATGGCATATGGTGATATCGTCCAAGCATTAAATTATTATTCTCATGATTCACTATCCTTTCCATGCCTTCTAAATTATTAGCATAAAGAATAATATTTCCATCAATAATTGCAGAATTATCTGTTAATACAATTTTATGCCAATTCCCATCAGTTATATTTGATGATAATATATTTGCTTGCATCATGCCATCTACGTTCAACTGAGATACTAGTAATCCATCAGCCAGTGCAACAGACATAGAATTATCACCTGATTCCTGAAAAAATTTTTTTTCAAAAAATTATTTTAACATTTTAAAACTATTACTAGGATTATTATTAGATTGCTAGGAAAGAAATGGTTACCAGCAACAAAATTTGACCGAAATTCGATCGTGTCCTGATTGAAAATCTCATTTCATTACCTCCCACGAATGAATTATTCTTACGACTGTACGAGACAGATGAAGTAGGAAAAAATGTTGCGGCTTGAGTACCTTGAAGATAAAATTGTTAATATTTTTACGATTTTTTCGGCAAAAGACAATCTTCAATGAATAACAGTAATAAACTCCGAATCTCAAAATCAATCCAAAATGATGTGCTAGCCAAATTACAAGCAAGCTTTATAAGTTTACATACACGAGTATCCTCCATCAAAATTAATGCATATAGAATTGGCCATACAAGGTGATATTGCGCAGTAATCTTTCTTATCACATTTTGATCCAGTCCATGTAAAATTACAAAAACACTGGAAATCGTTGAAAGTGTTTTCGCATTTGCCATGGACACAAGGATATACTGTGTTGCAAATATCATCGGATATTGTACCCTAGAAAAAAGTTTGCTTTTTTTGGATAATTTCATTTAAATTTAGGATTTTAAGAAGTTTTGTGGCACTGTGGAAGATATAATATCATCTCCATTAAAAAATTCTCTTATGATATGAAACACTGGAATTTTTGGAAACAATTATTCAATGAGTTTTGTAAAATACTGGATAATAAATAAAAAATACTGGATTTTGCGCATCTTTTATGAAAAAATTTCTCAGCTAATCACATAACTACTACTGCCATTCTCTCCAGCAAAGGAGTAAACGAATATTATTCAGACTATTAGTTCAAGCATTATGGTTCTATATATATATACTATAGTTATATACTAACTACATCTTACCTCTTTCTTACAAATAACACAGCACAGAAAATAATTTATCAATTTTTCTGATACTAATATAATGCATTGGGCACTATTTAAAATAACTGCTATTTACATTTAAAACATTGTTCTCTCGAATAATTTTTCCAATCTGCGGAGCTTCAAAATTAAATGGTATATTTTTCAGTAAGACAATTTGATCATTTATCCGAAAATCCTTCATTGTGCCTTTATAGAATTCTTTTGAATAAAATGCTTCACCAAATTCATCACTTGTACTACCGATGTTCAACGTATCTGCGAGGAGCGGATGATCGAACCGCCACTTTACTTCATATTCACTCGATTGTTTGCTATCAATAAAAATCTAAATATTGTATTTTTTCCTTGGTTCCTTACTATCTTGTAAAAACGAAGATATTTTTCTTATGAATTTCTAAGTCGAACTCCAGATTATTAATTACACGTACGATCCACGCATAACAGTGGTTTCTACAAAAATTTTTAGGATGAACTATTATGCTCAAAAGTACCAGCGTTCTGGAGAAAAGGTAGGTAAAAAGGAAAGGAAAATAAATATATAGAAATCCTTTCCTGAAAAATACTAGAAAACTGAGGAAAAAAAGGTATCTTCTTCTTATTTTTTTCCTTCATACCATTTAAAACCAGTAAATAATTTGCAAATTCTCTTTTTAACTTTTGAATGCCCCAAATTCTCCAGATCCGATAGCCGAAATTACAAAATACCTGTATGCTGTTGTGGTTTCTAATTAGTTCCACAAGATGTTCAATATTATCGTCAATCTTTTCATTCGAATTTGTTGAAAATATACGTTTTCCACCGAGTCGAGTTTTAACTTCTACTGATCCATTAAGAATCTCCATCGATATGAATGTACTTACATCGTCAAACTTCTATAAAACATTAGGTACAGTAAATGTATTTATATTTTGCACATCATATTTAGCTGTATGAATAAACAAATTACACAATTAATTTAATTAAAATGAAATCAATTATTATTATTTATTTGAATACATGGTAGATAGATCATATGACACATATAAATAACAGGGTGGAAAAGCCAGATTTCAATTCTTCAAAAGTTTTGAAGTACAGATGGGTTTCCACCACCTCGGATTTCACTTTTAAGGAAGAGTTTATTTCCGTAAAAAGAGTTGAAGCCAAGTTGCTTGGTTTCAGTCAAAGCAAGATACCGCTAAGAACTCATGAAATCCCGATTGTTAACTAAGCATCAAACAATAATTTTAGAAATTTCAGTAGCATACTTTTTCGCCTATATAGAAAATTGTTCCATTTGGTTTATTTGTTCTTAAAAGAACGCTCATATGCGTTTTCATTTCAACCAAACTAGAATCTGCACTCAAGTCAATTTCGGTAATTGACGACTGATTTTGATGCCCAAAGGTAAATTCATTTATTTTCTCAATACAATATGGTGCGAGAAATGGTCGCTGACAATGGCATACAAATGAGTCCCACTGATCCGTGCATAAGCCACCATTTTGGCAAGGATTTGGAATACATTGTTTCGTTCGTTGGCATCCTTCAGAAACTCCAAATGATTTTCTATAAAGAAAATAAACGTTAATTTCAAGTGCAATAATGATTTTCATATAATGCAATGTTGTGGTGGTGGTCATGCGGATATCCGTCGCCCTATATACTTTTCAAATGCTTCTGCAATGTCATAAAAAATTCATAACCAAAATCTTATTACATTTTATTCGACCTCCCTTCAAACCCCACTAAGCACTTTATACTCTTCCACCATCTCAAATCTCTCGTACTTTATTTACGAACTGTAACATCAGAAACACTGATAAACATGATGAAGAAAATAGGGAGGATGGAACGAATATAATAGGAATGATGCAGTTAAAGGAGAATAAAGGAGAGACTATGGCAAGTTTAAAAGTAATACAACTGTATATCAAAGGGTAGAGCGAGTTATATCAATGGTAATAATTGATAATAAGAATATAGAGAAGAGTTTGTCCGCCCGTTGGACGGGATTTTCTTGCTAGCAACTATATTGGTTATTCTCTCAGTCGTTTTAATGAATAGTTTTGCATTTCTATTTCTGGAGATACCAACTAATGAAATTTTCCATAATTCTTACCCGGTTTTGATCAAGTCTAGATTTTCGCCATTGATTATAACATCACGTATGCATCCTCTGAAACCGTCCTCCCGACCTTTGCCCAATCTTGTCCAAAATATCCCTAAGTTATTTTTTCTTGGCATTTTTACAACGGCCAAAGTATAATCATTCCGTTTAATCTCTAGCCGCAGTATCTAAAACGAATTCGATCCTATGAATAATCTGAAGATGATAAAGCAAGCAGATAGAAGTTAGCCTAAGAATAAAATGATCGGCAGAACCTAGAAAATAATTGTAATTTAAAAATCCAATAACTGATAGTAATCAATTTTTGCTAAAAAATTAAATCTGGATTTATGGTATTTTAGAAAAAAACATTCAGGATCTTGCTTTCTAAGGGATTTTTATTAGATTTTAAAAACTAATTATTTTTGTTTCATCAGTTTTATTTAAATTTAAATTTAGAATCATGGATGAGATTTTTTTCAGAGAAGTGCTTGTGGACAGAAGCCACACACCCAGATTTTCTTAATGATATCAGTTTATCAGAAGCTTAAGATGATAAGCAGTCGACTTAAATGTCAACTTATGCTATAATTTCTAGGCTTTCAATTTCATTCATTTCTTGTTGCTAATGGATTATTTTTTACATGAAATTATTTATAAAATTTTGAAGTTTCGTTGCAATAAATTGCAAATGAATTGAAAAAGAAAATTTTTAATGATAATTTTTCAGCAAGCAAACCTTCATAATATCAATGATATTTATTGTGTACCACTTATCATCATTCACTGCAAACTCAGTGAAATCATTAATACTTTCGTCAGAAAAATTTGCAACAAAAAATCCGTTTTCAATTCCAAGTATGAATTGCTCATGGCCAAGAATATTTTCTCCAGTAGCGATCCTGGTTTGTGAAGATGTCGTTCGAAATGATAAACTCAACTGATAAGATGAAATGGACCTTGAAAAACAGTTTTAAAATTTTGAGTAATTAAAAAATTATGACTAGAATAAAATCTTGAACAGAAATTATGCGTCAACTGAGATTAAGCCACCATAAGCTCGACTTCATTCCTTCATTTGCTGCGAAACCCAGTTGCTGGTGCCCACTCTATCTCCAAACGACTCCGTCTCATAGGAATCTCATCCTAATAGTAAACGATAATAGTTAAATTAGAAACGATGTTATTTTAGAAGATGATTTAGAAGATAAAAAGTTATAGGAATATAGTTCATTTATTCAATCATTTATTTATTTTATTTACCCGATTTTAATATTTTTCGATTGATGAAAAAAAAAAGATGACGATGTAAATGTTGCTGCTGTGTTTTTCCAGCAATCTGGAGGTAGCAATCCTGGAGCACATCCACAAAAAGATACTTTTCCATATTCATTGCTAGTTTGGCGACAAATTTGTGGACTGATGCAATTCAATTCATCGCATCCCTAAATTTCGAGCATTAATTAGTGAATTCACATAACAATTGAACTTATCGACAATGAAAACAGAATTGAAGAAATTATCCTATTTTAGAGATTCTTTATTAGTGTCGGTAACCTCAGTTTGATACGAACATGTTGGTCCACTCCAAGACAAATCACAAATGCAATTAGCAACGCCATTTCTATCTTCGACACATCCTATCGAATTAACGCATTCTTCACATTTGACTGACACCTAAGGATTCATATATCTCTAAAATCGTTAATAAAATTTGTAAGTGGATTTTCAAGTGGATTTCTCCAATTTCGAATGAGATTTAAATATAAATTAAATCACTGCTATGCATTAAAAAATTAAACTTCTTTAAAAACTAGCTTCTTTGCAAGTTTTTGTGCCATTTTCTTCGGAACAAATTTGTGAATCTTTACAATGGCCATCGCAGTTTGATACATGAATACGAAATTCACAGTATGGACCACTAAATGGTTCTTCACACGAACAAATGAAATTCGCCTCATCTAAAAGCCTTTTTATTCCTTATTTTTTAGGTTAGATTTTCTATTTATTCTTCAAACTTTCAATACTTTGAGTGAAATCGAAGATATTTGTGAAAAAAAATTTCTCCCTTTCTTATATCCGGTATCGGTAATCCTCAACCACCAGAGGCCTGGAAGCTTGGGGAAGCTGCGCAATGCTAGCCGTATCTTCTGCTGGATAGCGATGTTGTTTCTAGAATCTCTTCGAATTTTTTTTTTAAAAATTAAAACCATTCTCTAGTTTAATTGTCATAGTTCTTTCCATCACTGGGACCACACTGATCTTCATTCTCCACATCTTCTCCAGTTTATTTTTCAAAGCATGGTTCTCTAACTTTACATATTCCTTTTTCCTGATGTTGCCTTAGTGGTCTACCATATCAGTGCTGATTTATTTATTTAGTACCAAGATGTCTGGTTGATTGACCAGCAACTTATTTTGGGTGTAAAAGTCCCACAGGATCTTGACCTGTCATTCTCTAAGATTGTTTGGGCAATCATCTGGTTCCGGAGGGATGTAAGCCATATACTGAGATATTCCTGTAGACAATGCCAATTACTTGATTATACCAATCAGAGTTATATCCTATTCCTGTTTTCCTGTTTACATCTTACATTCCGCCATTATATGTGGGTCTGATGTGGTAGATTTCTGGTTTAAGGCACCTGTTGTTGTATCTAATGAGTGGGGTTTTTTAATCCAGCTTTTTCCAGTCGTTAATAGGGTTTCTCAATGTCAGCCATTCTAGCTATTTGTCGATGATAAATCTCATGAAGGATTTTGCTTTGCTATGGTACTTCTTGGCCTTTCTCCAATGTCTCCAATGCCTAAGGCATTTTTTCAGCAGCTCATCTTTTGTGCCACTTTGCTGTTGTATTCCTGAATATTTCGGATTTCGCTTAAGACAGTGGATTTGATACCCACCAAACCTCACCCGATTCTTTCCTGCTACTGTGCAATCTTATGCTACTTGACTTGGGTGGAAATTTCATGCATTATAAGAAGTATCTTCGCAGCCTCCATGTCTTCCTTTGACCATCATACTGTGCTAGGTGTACATCTGATTACTGGCAAGGAGTATATATGCTTGTGGCGTGAATTTTATTTTTCCCGTTAAGCTGGTTCTTCAAGAACTTGTCTTTAATGGTATTTATATTTGGATTTTCTTGTCTTTCCTTCATCTTGATCAAACTAATTTTTCATTTGACTGATGCCAAGGAACTTATAGTTGATTTGTTAAAAGCCCAGATAATAATTCCATGTTATCAGCTCAAACTATTTTCCCTCTCTTTACTGTCATCCGACCACATTTCTCCAGTCCAAATGATATCCCAATGTCCTTACTGTAGATTCATAGATGAATAAGATTCAATATCTTATTCACTTTTAGAATATAATTTGATTTAATCTATGCAAAGAGTATTACTGATGTTATTTCCGCATTTATATTTATATCGTTCTTTCTTGAGATTATCTAATTGAGGAGTTTCAAATCTATGCAACAGTAATAGTGATAGTGCATTACTATAATATATGTTTAATATATAATATATGCTTCATTTGACAGCCACTTGTGCAAGCTATTCTGAGTTGATTTTAAATTTTCCGCAGTTCCATTGAATGCTCGAAAGGTCTTTCGGATCGTGATTTTGTATAAAACCAGATATTTACAAATCCATGTGTGGGGCATTTCATAGGATTTTCTACAGTCAATCTAAGCTATGCACAGATTGGTCTGCCGGAATTTTGAGTCTTAAGCAATTGCCTTATCTATGAGCAGCTGGTGTTATTCTAATGGTCTTTTGAACTGTTCATATAGCTCATATGGTCTTGTAGCTTGATGGCTATGATTTTTGGTAGTACTTCCCAGGTTGTGAGGAGATAGGTTATTGGTCGGTAGTTGGTAATTGTTGTCTTAAGGATCTTTGCCGTTTAATGCCGTCCTTCCTGGTCTAAGTAAAAACTTGCTGCAAGCAAGCAGCTGGCTCATCTACTAAGTTGTACAATTTTTCATGTTTTTAACCTGCTGTTGGATGTTTGCAACGGTGATGGTAGCTGTTTCCTGTTCTGGAAGATTGCTATAGCTCGTTCTCAGGCCCTGCAGCCATTTTGCATGAAGGCAAAGATTTAACTACATATGAGATTATTATTATGGAAATTTCCATTTCATTTACTTATTATCATGCAAAGAATGGGAAAGATGGATCAATACTTAATTTTAATTGGTTCTGCATAGCAAATGTTATTAATTAATTAAATTTAATTTGTCTTGTTAACCTAGAAATGGATGAATGAACCAAAGTAATAAATAATATTAATGATTTTTGAATACTACTTTAATAACGGTAGGAATAATGATAATAGTAATAATAATTTTTTTCTAAACCGTCATTTCTGGTTAGGCTCGCTCCGGTGGCTTGTTGGATCAGAAAAATTATGTTAAAGAGTCACTTGACGACAGTACACGTGAACCACTACCATCAGGTTTTAAAAGACGCGCTTACTCTTGCCGATGCATAATCCCGGTAAAGAATAGTGAGAATGAATAAATAATCACCGGAATTATTTCGATAACATTTCCCACCATTCAAACAAAAATTGCTACCACATTCTACCGTCTTTTCACAAAACTGACCATTTTTGAAAGGTGGACAATCGCAAATTGCACGACCATTACCATCAATATGGCATTCACCTTAGGAAAATTGCAATTACTTGAAGAGAATAAACAAATTTTCGATGATATAATGAACATAATCAATCGTATAAAAATTATTTGTATGTCGTAATCATAATAAGTATTTTTTGATTACTTCAGATGTAATGCCCATGAATAGATAGACTTATTACCTCCATTACAATTGTATCCATCGCACAATGAGGTGTTTCGAACTAAATTTTCGCAAAATTTCCCTTCGAATCCATCATCACATGCACATTTTGGTGTGTTTGAAGTCCAAACGCATTCGCCATGAATACAGAATTTACTAAACATTTTCAAGACTAGTTAATTAAATGATTTTTTTAAATGATTCAAAAAATATTTTTCAATTTCTTTTCTTTGGATTCGCTAAAGTCAAGATTTTCAGGATTTTAAGATCAATGTACCCATCAATTGTGCATTTGATAAAGTTTTCGCATCGACTTCCTTCGAATCCAGCGGAACACACACATCTCGATTCGTTTTTGAGACAAATTCCACCGTTAAGACAATAATTTGGAGAATCGCAACCAAGCTCATGTTCACAAATTTCTTTCTAAATTTTGGGGAAAATTATTTGACTTTCACTTAAAGCAAATTTTCTGAGTAAGTAGGTCAATTGTAATTGTAATTTTAACTATATAACTTGTAATGAATTATAAGTAACGAACCTTGGAACCATCTGGGCAAATACAACTGTTATGGATACATTTATGCATTTTATCTGTGCAATTGCAAACATTTTCAGTGAATTTTGCCTTAAAAAAGAATGAAAAAAATCACTAAAAAACTTAACGGATTGTCAATTCACGATTAACAATAGAAAATAATTTTAGGAATAATTTTAATTAATTTTAGTAGATAAGATGGCCAAATGGTTTGTACCTTTCAGCATGTCCAAATGCCATATCATCTCACTTAACCCACTTAGCCTTTGATGAGTGTAAATCTTATTAACAAAAGTGAAATGCGATTAGATCTACCTGCATGCCTACCTAAGTGGTTTCTTTTCGAAAAAATCTCACCTTAATGGAGACAATCAAACCAGAGTTGATGAAATCTTCGCCATAACAATCTTTTTGTTTAATTTCAATTTTGGTCAGATTTTCGTTGAGTAAAATGAAATATTTTATTTTACGTTTTAATCATATCCTGTCAATGAAATGTTTTAACAAACCACTACCTCACAGTGATAAGAAGTGTACGTCGGTGGACATATGCATTTATATGCTTTTCCAACTTCTTGGCAAATCCCTCCATTTAAACAAGGATTCGTCTTGCAGCCCGACCATTTTTCGCATAATTTACCTATTCATTTAACTATTAATATTAATTTATTTTTATTAAAAGTAGTAGGAGTAGAAGACATTAAGAAACTATCAGCCTTTAACCACTTATATCTAAGATATATTTTACGCATCCGTCGAACGGATAAAATCGCACATGATCGTATCTTCGCTCAAATACACCTGTATTAATAATGTTATCACAGAGCGTCGACTTCGCTGGTTAAAGCACATTCCCCGTCGTCCACCGCAGGAATTGACGCATATTTTGTTTTTTGCTAAACCCTGTGATGGTTGAAAGAGACAGTCAAGACCTGGGGTGATACATCCAGGAAAGATTTTGAACGCATAGGAGGACCAGCGATACATGGACTTATACGATGGAAAAAGGAATGGCTTTCATTACTATTAGCGATGACGTCGGATCGAGCAGTTTGGAGACGTCCTCTTACTCTTGTAGCCAGTGGAGCCAGCCTAACCAGTAATGGTGAGAGCTGTTAGAAAAAGAAGAAAAATAATAAAGTGGAATGTAGATAACTCGAATAAACTACAAGGCTTAACAAATCCACCACAGACAAAAATCTTAATAGTTTAAAAATACCAGAAAACCCATTCAAACAAATGCATGAGAATGATCCAACTGCATTTTTGCAAATACCGGCATTTAAACATGGATTAGATTCACATTCATCGATATCATTTTCACAAAGCTTTCCGCTAAATCCAACGGTACAATTACATGTAAAGCTTGCTTCGGCTGTTTCCTTGAATTTAATTTTTTTCATTAATTTAATTTAATTTTTTATTTTTTTTCATTTTTAGAATTGTGTGGAAATATTTTTCCCTTCCCTCCCCTCTCCTACCCCCATTGAATTCTTTTCCCTCTTCCCCGTTGAATCAACAAAAAGTAATTGTAATTTTTTCAGAATTTATTATAATATTATATTGTTTCATTTTTAACTTTTTATTCATTCTTATTTTATGTTGTCTTTCTCTTTGGCCTTTTTAGGATTACTGTTTTTCTGATAGAATCTTTCTTTTCATGGAAACATTATTAATAATATTATAATAATGATAAATATATATTAAAGCAATATAATTAGGAAAATTCGTGGCACATTAAAAAATTAGTCTAAAAATTTATTTATATCTAAATTTATAAAAGAAAGAATTACCGAATTCGATTTTAGATAAGTTGGGGAACAAATAGCTTTATTGACGCATGGATTTGTCGAACAAGGATCTATTATACAGATCGGTGAACCTTTTGCATTTTGAACGCATCTATAAGAATTATTCAATTAAATAAAAATGAAAGATAATGATAAGATAAGAAAATGAAAGATGATAGATTTAAATCTAGCTTAAAATAAAATAAAAATTAAATAAAATAAAATTTGCACACATACACAAGTAGAAGCAGCAAATGCTGAAGATCTACTTGCACTGCGTAAGTGTCCACAAATGACTCTTTGGTGTCTCATCCGAATAACCAGATGAACCAACTAGAGTCGCAATGGTGACTGCGAACCTACTAATAAGTCCCAATCAAAAAGTATAATTACAGTAGTTTATACGAAAATCATTATCTAAAATTATCCTCATTGTCCTTAATCATTATCCTTTTGTTACCACTAAACTATGAAAAAGAAAATTCATAATTTGGCGCAAAGATTTATTTTTTTCAAATTCTTCATAAATTCAGAATTAATTAGAAAGGATTAAATTGCAAATTCGTAGCAAATATTAATGGGCAATCTTTTATTAAAATTTAAATTTAATTGAAATTTCACCAAAATAAGAATCCTTTCACTGCCACCAAATTATGAAATCTCTTAAATTAGAAATCATCGTAATCAAATTCCATCAATCAAATCGGAGAAAGTTTTAAATGGCAAAAACTCGATTAATAAATTTTAAAATCGAATAATTTCGAAAATAATAGTAGAGAATTACAAAACTTGCTATTTATTAGTCTTCAGCATACTCTTAACACTCATCCCAGAAGCCTTAAGAACCCAGAGTTTTCTTACTTTTTGGCTCATTTGGTTTTTTGCTTCAAAATGCTTTCCCGCATTGTTAATCTTTTTCAACCATTCCTTTTGTAATCGGAATTTAGAAAACAGTAAATTTATTGCGGATATGGTGAGGTTTTTCTGAAATAACTAGTTTATGTGAAGTTCTCGTTAATAACCTTTCACCAGGGTCACAACCTTGAGTAGTGCAATCTATTATTTCATCTTCACATTCTTCTCCCACATATCCTGTAATAAGACTTTTATAAGTCACAATAAATCAACAAATCGTCATTAAACCGAACCGAAATTGAATAAATTTATTTAAATTTATTGGCAAAATGTTGGATTTTGTTAATGAAAATTTTAAAAACATGGTCCAATTGAATTTTTATGTGCGCAAATTCATGTACAACAAAAAAATAGGCCAAATGATGTGACCTTTGCTTTAAATGTGGCATTTTTTAAGAATGGAAGAATGGAAATCTACTGATAACGATTTGCTTTTCGAACTTCAAAGAAATATAATGGAATAATGAAATATGATGAATATAATATAAATATAATATACAATATTTCGAAATCGTGTTTCTAATCTTTCAGTGATTAACTAAATATTTAACTTATATAACTCACAAAAAAGTTCTTTGGGTTCTCAGTGATTTTTAAGAATGCTAGCTAAGAATGCAGATAAGTGCATCACTAAAAACCACTGATTAATCTATTTTGTTATCCTAAAATAAAATTCCTTGAAAAAAAATTAAAACCTAAACCTTTTGGACAAATACATCTGGAAATACCATTTTCAATAACACATTGTCCAGCATTTTTGCATGATCGATCACAAATCGATTCACAAAGAATTCCGGAATATCCATCCATGCATACACATCTGAATGATCTTTCTCTCTCGACGATTTCACATGTTCCACCATTTAAACAAACATTGCTTTGGCACAATCGTATCCCGCTTATCACTTAATTATAGAAATTCAGTTCAAGTGTTTGAAAAAAATTGAAGTTAAGAAATATCTTTTTATGCACCGATTTCATCGCAAGATGGATTCAGAAACTCCTTATACTTCTATCTCTCCAACGAAACGGTTTTAACTTTTTCAACTTTTTTGCTATTGAAAAGTCAGATTATTTTAACCGGAAAATCTATATAATTTACATGATAGTTGATAACTGGCTATAGCTAATGAACTTTTAATTAATTTTTCCCATGTTTTGATCATAAATCTTAAGTCCTTGCAAACTGATAAACTCAAAATCTTTTGTTATGAATTCGATTGCTATTTTATAAAGGGGTAGGGAAGGCAAACTAGAGGCAAATTAAATTAGAAATTACCTAAATTGATTGAAATGTTTTATTCATATTTTTATCCCGAGAATATCGTTATTTAATCTCTTTTTAACTTTGAAAATCCTTTTAAATTCTTTCCTAAATAAATTTAAAATGTTAATTTAAAATTAAATTTTCAAATTTAATCGCCTTAAATCATATGGAATCGACTTGTAATGAGCCTTAGTATTGAACGATTATGACCAAAGGAACTCCATAAGATTTTTATCGCATTAAAAATTTTGTGCACACATATTTCGCCTGGAAATGATGCTAAATTCAAGTTACTTCCATTTCCACTTGACTGTCCTGCGAAATGTTCTTAATCTTCCACTCAGTGGAGACAGTTACAAGAGCTAAATGGTGGGCTGTTCGATCGCTGAGTGTGCAATAAAAGAAGTCACTGCTGAATACAATCCTAGCGAAACTATCTGATAAAAAGCAGGCTTATAGTTATTAAACTAAAATTTGATCGAAATTAAAGACTGAAGAATATTGAAGCTATAATAAAGATAGACATATCACGTTATCATAGGTTCGATTCTATTCCTTGACGAGAGTAAATCTCCATTAAAATATGGGTCGTGCAGCCATCAAAATGGCTGCAAGTAACACTAAATTAAATTTCTAAAATTTCTTTTTTCGATAAATTAAATAATAGTTTCTTCTTGTGCCAATTTATTTTTGGAAGTTTTATAGTTGGACGATTATTTTTCAACGCATCTTTTCTATGAAGTTTGACCACAGTGCTGACAAGATAAAATAAATATTTGTAAACACTAAGAACCACTTTAAAATATCGTATTAGCTATATGTTCGAAATTTGATCTCGAAACAATGCTAATACCGGATCTACTTCAAACAGATTATCCCTTAACTTGAGATTTTTAGTATAACAAAGGGCAGAATTCAACCTTCGTAATAGAGTTTATAAATTTCTGCAATATTGATAGTTTTTCTCAAAGATTCAGCGAAATTTTATTTATCTAATAATATTCCAGTTTTCCTTCTTAATTCCAGTACTAAAAACTTATTACATGTTAAATCAAGAACAGTAAAATTGATTTAATAAAATTGACTGGCCTTTTTCATCTGTATTAACTATTTAGCCTGAAAAACCTTTTTTGAAAGTTGCATAAAAGCCTAGTTTACTGGTACTATTCTAATGGGGCTTTATTCCAGCCAACGGGAATCTATGACGGTTCATCCTGGTCAATGCAATATTCCACTCAAGCAACCATCGGGTTTAGCTTGGATTCTATTTTTTAAATGCATAAAGTAAATCTTCATATAATTTTTTAATTCGACATTATATTGGCCTACAATAAGATGTTGATTTATTGTTCATGAAAAAATTTAACCAACTGGTTTCACTGATATTTAGCAATAATCTATAGAATATTAATTGGAATTTAAAAAATATCAGCCATTATTAAATCCGGAATCGCACACCTGGATTGAAAGCATTAACATGATTACATAGATAATAGGACTATCGAAAAATAAAAAATGATTTAAAATTATGATACAGTGAGCTCATTTTTTATGACTCCTTTTTCAAATTAAGCTTCTTGAAAACAAACAAATAATATTAAAATATAAAAAACTTGAAAAATAAAGATAAGTTCTAATTGAAGCCTTTAATGATTATTACTGGCTGGGAAAAAGGACCAAGGACAAAGGTACTGAAATCGGTCGAAGAGGCAAATTTGGCAAATATTTTTGTAAAACTTAGAAAAAAATGAAAAAAAGATTTAATTAAAATTACAATAAAACATCAGAAATAGAATATAACATCAGAAAAATAGAAAGTAATGTAATCATTTACCACTCTGTAATTTTGTTTTGGATATTTTTGATTTAAAAATAATGATGGGACGAATAATGATGGTCAAGTGTTATATTGGTTCAACTAAATTCAAACCATCATAGGTTTGATCCATTTTCTTTCCCTAAAGTCAAATTGTCGCTAAAAATGAAATTTTAGAGGTGGTAAGAACTCCCACCTGTATTTCTATCCATAAGTGATTCTTTGGTGCATTCGAATTTTAGCCAAACCAAACCAGAAACAGGTTGAAGATGAAAAAGATCAAAAATTGTGGAATATATGACTCGCTTATAATCCAGAAAATTAGAAATCACAAGAATAAATATAGTAGCGACATTTATAAAACGAAAAAGTAAAAAAATGACAAAAAACCTTGCCAAACTGACAGTGAAAAAAGAATCAGCATACGTATCCGTATTGCGAATGGCCTTGGCACGCGTGAACGTATAAGAAGAGTGTCGACTCGTTAATTAAAGAGTGGACAATGATGACAACCGACCGATTGACCTTTTGCTTTTGTATACACCCCCCTTTAAAAAGCTCTTATTGCTAATGATGAAGATAGTAATCAATGCTCAACTATTCCCTATAATCTAACTGGATTGAAACAAACGTGCAACTAAAATTTAAAGACATGGCATTGAAATAACCGGTCGAAAACTTTTAATTGCATTCACTCCAAATTATCTGTTCCAGCAACAATTATTGTCGAGCGTATTAACATTTTTTGCACCACAACGATTAGCCATTTGAGGGTCATCGACCAATCACCAATATTAAATTGAAATTTTTTATAAGGAATTTAATAATAATTAAAATTAATTTTAAATGATATCCAAAAAAAAATATTTGTATCATCTGCAAAACGATTTTTTGAACAAAGAATCCTCTTTTCTTGCCTCTCAATCGGCTTCTTTGAATTTAGGGTTTTTCGAAAATTTTATATTAAAATAGCAAAAAATCGAGCGTCGCCGAGATTACTGCTCAAATTAGTGCTTCGAGCACCCACTAAATTTCGAGCTCTGTGCCCGGCAAGCCTAACAGTAAAAAATCCAAGTAATGCTAGGGATATATTTCTATTTCATGCGAATTCTTAGAAAAAATTTCTCATCGTAATACTAACAACCAGTGGAACGAATCTAAAAGCGAATGCTGAGCGCTTGCTTACTTAATGAAAGTACCATTGTAGCCATGAGCAAAATGTTTTAAAAAAATAAGTCTAGAAGATAGAAAGATGGATAACATAGGCAATTGTTATAAAGAAGGGTCGAAGAATTTTAAATCCCCATCATTACTGGTTATGTTAAGGTCGAAGATACCGAATTATACCAGAAATGGCCTAAAAATTGCCTAAAAAATTTCAGCGATGAATCTATTTGCAATATTCGATGAATTCCAATAAACTCCAGGATTCCTACCGTTTTTTCGTGATATCTATTTTAATTATTTCAATATATTTGAGACAATTGAGCTGAGTTATTCTTTCCAAATTTTGATATTAAAATGAATTATCTTTATCTAGCATTTTATCTTCTCACCGTCAGAGATTAAACAAACCTCTATAAAAATAATGGTGATAATGATGGCAGTAATAAATAACTGAAAGGGTAAACAAGAAATAAGTGATAACGATTCTTAGAATAATTAGAAGCAAAAAACGGATTCTTTGAAATATTTTTCAATGTATTTCAAATATTTATTCAAAATATTATATTAAATATATTCAAAATATTTATCTTCGGATTTATTCGGATAATCTTTTTTTTGGAAGAAAACATTGTTCTCTACTATTTCGTCTGAAAAAAGAAAAAAACTGCAATAAAATAAATAAGACAGATATTCGAATAGAAGTATTTCAATTTGTATTATAGATTATTAGTTATTAAGTTTATAAAGTTTCGCGATCGGCTTATTGTCCATGTGGCTAAAAGTCTTACGAGATTGTTGCAAAAATCTGTTACATAAATAGTTCGATTCAATTTATATTTACCATTCCTTTAGTTATTCCTTCACTCCTTTCCTTTCTTTTTTCTTTCTTTTTAACAATTTATGAACAATTTAAAGGCGAAAAATCTTCTTACTTCTTTAAACGATTTTACTGCCCTTGAAAAGATAGGAATCGAATCTATCAATGGTTTAATCTTAATCGAAACAATATACCACTCGACCATTTTATATCTTTTTAAATATATTAAATAATTATTAAACTAATAAAATTAAATTAAATAAGATCACTAAATAAATAAAATGCTTAGTGCTTGTGGATTATAAATGATATCTTTCTTCTTCTTCTAACAGCTCTCACCATTACTCGCATCGTGGTTAAGTTTGGCCTCAAAAAAGTTTTTCCATCTTATGAGTCAATCCATAATAATCTTAACAGGCGCTCCATTAATATCCCTATCATTTCACTGACCCTTTTTCGAGTTACAGTTGCTTTGTGAATAAGGCGAAATAGTTTCTTATTATAATCGAGCAGTTGTCTCCATTCTCAAGGCCACGTCACTCCAATAATGATTGCTATCTAGCCGTGCTGCTGCTGTTGTAATTCTTCGAAGTACCCGATAGTCAGGATCTCCTCACATTATTCAGGCTTCTACAGTTCTTTCAGAAAGTTGGACAGTTGTTTTTAGACAGGGCGAGCTGTCACTAAGTGCCTGTCTGGTGAAAAAGATTCGTCCTGATGGCTACTACCCGGTTCAACTATTC